AATTAGAGTTATGAATCCTTCAATGAATATACGCCTCTGATCGGATAAAACGTTAAATTTAAAGTTTAAAAAATAATTCTAAAATATCAAGATGTTCTTCCGGAGGAACTCTGCGAGGATGCGGTTGATACTCTGTGTGAGAATCTTCTCCCGTTTATCCTGGTACCCGGAGATAGTTTAACCCAGACTAGTCATCATTATGTACCAGCCATGATACAGACAGTTATGTACAAGGTAAAAATTCATAAAGGAAAAGTTCACAAAAAATATGTTGGCAAAATCATGATTTAATTTATTTATATTATATGTTCACTTTCTTTACTAATCATATTTTTTTCAGTCTCCCCGAAATACTCCAAACCATCGGAAACTAGTTGAATGTGTGATGGCGCAAAAGCAAGGTGTTCACATTGACCTCCTACACGTGATCGCCTACGGGCCGACCTCCTCCAAGCTTCCTGCGGTCAACCTTCTCTTCTTCTACTGGCCGTCCCTCAACCCGACCCCGGCAGAACGGAAGGATATAGTTGACAGGTATTTATCAGGGAATCAAAGATGGGATTTCAAGAGTTTAAATCCAAGTAAAACCCAGCCTAAGCGTATATTTACGCCCAAGTAGTGCCCGAACAAAAACTCAAGCTTAAGTTAGATTTGGTTTTGGTTAAAGCCGATCTTTTTTTAACAATCCTGAGTGACCTAGGCTTTGGGAGCCATTGATCGTAAATTTCGTTAAAAACTGTTTTTTTTTATTTTAAGCCTAAGAATTTGTTTTTAAGTAACAATTTTTTTGTGTTCTACTTTATAATTCAAATGTATGTAAATTTTTTTTCGGAATTTGCAGGTTTAGCAAATGTATTTACTGATTTGTAAGTTTGTCATTTGCGGATTTGTCTCGATAGAAGCTTGTAAAGATCCGCGGTGTCGTACATAGGGACACCTCCCTGCATGAATACTCCTCCCCCTAAAGTTTTAACCATTTCAACACAATGTTAGACAAGAAAAGCAATGTTATAACATTTTCCTATATTTATTTATGTATTTTTATTGGAAAAACACATTAAAAAATATCTCGAGTAAGTATTTATTATTTTAATACATTTAAGAACTGAATGCCTATCTAATATATGTCAACTAATAATTTTTAATGTTTTAACATTGCTTTTAAAGTTTAACATTGTGTTGAAATGTTTAAAACTTTAGGAACAGGTGTTTCTATGCAAGCGAGGTGTCCCCATGCGCTAAACCGGCTTTTTAAAAATCCAAGCTTTGATCAAGAAATTGAAAATTCTCCAAAATATACCATCTGTTGTATTGTACTCTTTGCAATTAATCTAATACTGGAGAATCTGTTTTACAAAACAACAAAAATGCATTTTCCCCTTTTTTTCAATTCTGGGTAAAATGGTAGAAACGTATACAATATGAATTATGCAGAATTAAAATCCCTGTTATATTTGTAATTGATATTGAAAAATTTAATTTCAGACAAAACAAAATATTAAATTGTTTATTCAACTTTAATGGAATTTATCACACCTAATATTTCCCGCTGTAGGTTAATTAATTGACTTTATCGCCATACAACAGGGCGAAAAAGTAACTTTTTCACCTTTCTATTAAAATTTCAAATTTCATACCTAATTTGTCTCATTGTAGGGTGATAAAGTTACTTAATCACCCTACTACAGGGTGATTAAGTAACTTTATCAATCTGCTTTTTAATAATTTGAGTAAAACTGAATAAAACTATATATGTCATTGAAATGGGCATCATGCGTGCGAAAAAGTTTTTGCTAGCATTTTTATTTTTTCTAGTTTGTTTTTGATCAAAATAAAAATACGTTTATTTTGATCAAAAACAAACTAGAAAAAATAAAAATCCCGGCAAAAACTTTTTCGCACTTAATAATACCCATTTCAATAACATATATAGATATTATTGTTTTGTCAGGTTCCAGACTGAACCTAACTGGATCCCTGCAATCTGTACCAATCTCAACTGTGAATCTACTGAACCTGCAGAAGCTACCAAGGAATAAACTTTTGTTTAACTTAAAACTTCAGTTTTTTTAAAAAACATTAGTTTTTTTATTGATTTTTTATTTGTTTTTCAAAAAATTCCACCTACGTGTTAATTTTTAAAAAGTTTTCAAAGCCTGAAAAACTTGTTTCGATTTCCTCACTTCTGATCTATTTTATGGCAAAGGATCCGAGTTTTAGTCACAAACTCTGATTCCTTTTATCTTTATTCTTCACATTAGCGCCTCATCCAATCAGGGTTCAGTCATGTGTTTTGTGTCTATTCTGAACTAATAGAAATAGTATGGCGGTAACATCTATCTTTCTATCTGTCTCATTATTTAATTAGAGTTATGAATCCTTCAATCGGCGCTATCAGTAAATGGAAATATTTACTTATACTGAAACTTCAATATTCCAATATTGAATTCTTTTACATCAAAGAGTCCAAGCTTGAAATATCAAAGATTCACACCACCAGGTTGCCAAAAATTGGGGTTGTGGCAGTTCCTTTGCAAAAATTATATCTGGAGTGAAAACTAAAACATTTTTTTCAAGGCCTAAAAAATTTTATAAATACTTATACAAAAGTTTACCCATGCTTAGCTCTGCTTGGATCATTCCATCCCGTTGAACCAGAGATCTGATATACCTCCACCAGCTCTATACTGTTATGAGTGCACGGAGAAGGTTTTTTAACATATCTATTTTTAATTTTAATTTTAACAAAATTCTATAAGTTAAATGATATTTGCTGCAAACTTTGACATTTCTGTTTTCTCAGCTAATTTTGAAAAAGAATAGAAATTAATTTTTTGTGTGACGTCAGTGCCCAGAGAAGGTTAGAATTAGAGATTGAACGGTGGGACTTATAAAAACTAGGAATAGGAAGACGACCGAAAAACTAAAAATCCGATAAACCTATAAAACATATCAGTAGTGCAGTATACACAGACCCGTTTCAACAATAAAGTTGGTTTTCAAGCTTGTTAAACTATGTACTCGAAAACAACACCAAAATCACATAAGATTGCGTAGATCATGTCTTTTACCTTTTCCACACTTTTATAGGTTTCCCTGTAAAAGTAAAAAGGGTAGTTTTATAATTGAACAGAAAAGTCAGAGATAATTTAGTTAGGACAAAAAATGTTGCTTTTTTGGATGTACATTGTACAGTAAGCAGAAAAGAGGAAAATGTTAAAAGGTAAAAGAATAAGCAAAGACGATATGTTTGACAAAAAAGTTGTTTCATAAGTGTACAGAAAGTCAAATAAAAGAAAAGCTAGCTTTATTAGTTTCCTGGGGAACATTACAGATTATATGCTGAAAATTAACATTTTTATTACAAAATTCTGATTTATCAAATCCTCAGGTTCTCCAGAAGAGATCTAAGAGTGATCCTGATATATTTGAGGATTTGAATATGCCCATAGATCAAATTGAAGTCAAATGTGAGAATAAAAACTGCAGATCAACAGACAAGGTAGAAAACAGATATCTAATTGAAAACAAAGATTATGTTCCTGGTAAAGGATTGAGGCGTGATTTTTAAGATTTTTACTTATGACCAAGCATACCAAACCAGCGTGAGAAAATTTTCACGAAAAAATGCAAAAATTTTGCGAGAATAAATTTTGCGAAAGGAAGCGAAAACGATACGGAATTTTCCCAAAAATTCAGTTTTTTTTTTCAACGAAAGAAATGCAAAAAAATAAGAAATTTTTGGCAACATAAAATTTTTCATTTAGCTGGAATCCCAACTTAATCCCAATTTAAAAATGGAAGTATATAAAAACGTTTAATATTCCTGTCTAGATTGGCGTCTGTTCTTGTTTTTCACCAGAATGCACATTTTATAACAGTCACAGGTAATTCCAATTTTTATTTATTTAGGTGGAAAGGAAATTGAAACTGTAGAGCAAAACATTGTTTCAATTTATAACTGAAAACATGCACCCAGCTCTAGACTTTTAATTCTTTTATCCAATTGAAACCTGACGTCATTAGACCAATTTGATTTGTCAAACTTTTAATTTCCAGGAACAGATGAAAATAAAACATATTTGCTGTATTTTGACATATTTGCTATGTAGTTTGGAAATTTTAATAGTGTAAAAGGATTTGAGTCTTTGCCACAAACTCTGATTTTCTAAACCCTCTTATCCTTGCATCTCAATGTTGTAGACCTTAGATATTTAAACAGGGGCGAATAAGGGGGGGCGGTAGGACCTTCGCACCCCCCTGAGATTTCAGAATAATTTCTCAATAGCGCTTAAGGGAAAGAAAACTTAGTGCAAAACAGGAAAACTATCTATCTTAAAAAAATGTTGTTCCTAAATCCGGATGTTTTTGTTCCGAAATAAATCTAGTACCCTCCTCACTTAAGACCTGTATCCACCCATGTATTTCAAACAATGAATTTGGTTAGATAAAATAATCTAAGTTTGAAATATATAAAGTTTACATTATCAGGTTGCAAAGATATTGGAATTAGAAAATCAGAGTTTGTGGCAAAGAATCATTTCATGTGTCAACTCGATGCATGAAAGATAATTTAACTCTCAACTGTAAAAACCTTAAATTTTTACTGTTTAAAAATAGCTTAATCTTCCCGCAATGAGAAAATTTCATTAACTATGTTTTCACTCCCTTTTCGATAATTTTTCAACGTGTTTTAATGTTTAAAACTTTGTTGTAATTATTTCTTCTAATAAGCCGAAAAATAATGAATTTGCTGGTGCAAGTGTAATTAGATATTTTGATAAAACGGGTTCACCCTTTTTTACATTTTTGTCTTCTACAGGCTGTATTTGTACTTTATTAAACTGGATAAACCAGACTTTTCAGTGATCTCATATACAGGGTTACCCGGCACAGGATGAGACTGTAAAGACGACCGGACACTATTAAAAAGTGACATTAAGATTAACTTAGGCATTCTGTCATAAAGTCTTTTTAATAATTGGGCAAAGAAAGGAACAAATTTACAGTTGCTGGGAATTCTAAGTAAGAGAAAAGGAAAGTGTTGTTTCCATACTATCGTCTCTAACGTCTCATCCTTTGTGGGTAACCCTGTATACTTGTGTTCTCTAAATACAGGCCTATCCGGTACTGCGAGCAGTGTCATAGAATCCGACATAATGAAAGACGACGTACAACCAACCACGTGCTCCAGAAACCGGTTATTTCTCCCTGGAAAATGAGCTTTGATGACAGGAACAATAATATTTTCAACATTTGAATAAGATATTGGTTGTATGCAGATTGGTGAAACTTAAGCTTAACTTTTTACAAGAGTGATTTGTATCACAATTTCAATAAAGTTTGGATCTTAAAAATATCTTTAAATTGGTCAATCCACTCTTTTTTAAGATTTAAAATAGTCTGTCATAGTATTCTAAACTTCTGCTCTTTTAATTTTGATTTTGTGGATTTTTTTTTGGGGCCATATAAAAATAATGAAAAAATGTCTGAAACAGAGTGGAAATGAGAAATTCACAGAAAAAACTTCTTTTTGAAGGAGAGACACTAATTATACTTTGTTTACTCACCCTGCATTTTGGACCAATTTACCAGATTTTTCTTTTGTTTCCATTTATTTGATTTAAAGAAGAGTCGCCATAAATAATTTTTATGAAACACATATATTTGGTGATCAGAGAGGTTATGCTCGCTTCAGTTATCAGCTTGCTTTCTTTAGCTAAACCTTTCAGCTCAGATTCACAGGTTCAGATTTAATTAATATAAGTACTAGGGGCGTACTCAGGGGGGCAGGCTAATTTCTGTTCTTTCCAGGGGGGAGGGTTGGCTTCGCACTGTTGGGCCCTTAAAAACCCACAAAAACCATTAATTTTACTGAAACAGTTAAAAAATTTATTTGAAGAAGCTAGGTGTAAAATATAATTTTTTAGAAAAATAAAAAAGATTAAAAAAGTCATTATTTGACTTAACTGCACTCTCATATTCTTTATTAGAGTTCTTCCGTGTATACATTCTGCTCAAATATATTTAATTTTAGTCTTTTAGAAAATAAGAATTTTATTTGATTTCTTACATTTTACAGGGATTGTCAACGTTATTCTGGAGAAAAAACGCCGATTTTTAAACATGGACGAATCAAAAAATGAGTTAGATTTGTCACATGTCAGTGTTATTTCTCTGACATCGGTTCTTAATGTCTAATGGGACTGTAGGCATAACCCTCCAATTATTTAGCAGCATATCCGATTCACTTCAATACCGACCCATTAACTCCTTGAGTAACAATGTTGATAATAATAGTCTGGTTTCTTGATTAAAAATTGACTATTTCTTTCATTGTCTGCTTTATAAATCCGCAATTCACTTTTACAATGAAAATAGTCAATTTGGATTCATTCATTCATCCATGATCAGTCAACGGTCATTCATTCATCCTTGATCATTCAAAGATCATTAATTCTTCCATGATCAGTCAAAGATCATTCATCCTGCCATGATCAGTCAAAGGTCATCCATTCATTCATGATTAGTCAAAGGTCATTCATTCTTCCATGATCAGTCAAAGGTCATTCATCCTTCCATGATCAGTCAAAGATTGAAAAGATGCCGTTGTGAATCGGACATGGGATATTTTAAACGGAGGGTCACGTGAAAATGAAATTATGTCTAATCGTTAATGCTATTCGTAAATCTACTTTTACTTAATTCAGGAGGAACATCATGCAAGGACGATGATACTGTTGGACGATGCTGATACGCAGGACGATTTTACTTTCGACGATTATCTCATGGCGTCCAGGTAAAAGCCAGAATATTTACGGTTTATGGCCGGACTTTATTAACCTTAGTTAATGTGTATAGTTTAACCACGCATAGTGTAGCCTGGTAAGTACGTTGTATGGTTACTGACAGAACGGTGTTTGGTTAACCCTATTCCCGCTGGGGGGGGGTCAATTTGACCCCCCCCTGTAGTTTTTTTTACATAACTCAAAAAGTATTGGTCTGAGGCTGTTGAAATTTTCTGACTTTTCTTACATACCCAAAGCCCTCCCTTTAGGCCTAAAACCGGGCTTTAATACTAACTGCCTGAGTCCTCAGGCACACTGCCTGAATGACTGCTTTTGCCTGTAGCAAACTAAATCTTTGTTTTGACCCACTTTCACTTGTCAGATTTTGATAAAATTTAGCTTTTTGGAAAGCCTATGACATAAGGAAACGAATTGCAAAAGTTTTGCGAGAAAAAAATTGCAAATTTTTTGCAAACAACCTGTCAAAGGAAATTTGCACATTTTTAGTTTTTCTTGATTAAAAATCAGGTTATTTAAAATTTTGCAAAAATTTTTGCATATTTGAAATGGCATGGTCAAGGGCTTTTCAAAAATGTATAATTTGTCATTTTTTGGACAAATTTTTTTTGCAAACATTTTTACTATAAAACTGGATTTTGCGATAAAAAATTCAATTTTCGCAAATTTGCAAATTTTTTTGCAGATTCTAAAAGTAGAGCACAAGAGCTTTCTAATGATGTATCATTTGTCATATTTGGACATAAAACATGGGATTTAGAGGGGGGGGTCAAATTGACCCCCCCCCAACGTATCCTGGTTTTCAAGTACCCCAGCGGAGATAGGGTTAATGGCAACTGGTTGGACTGCTCTAGGTACGGTGTTTAGCTTCTGGCCGGACTATGTATACTCTAGATACAGTGTATAGGTACTGTCCAGACTAAGTATACTCCAGGTACGGTGTATGGTTACTGGCCGGACTATGTATGCTCTAGGTACGGTGTATAGCTACTGGCCGGACTATGTTTACTCTAGGTACGGTGTATAGCTACTGGACGGAATATGTATACTCTAGATACGGTGTATAGCTACTGTTCGGACTATGTATGCTCTAGGTACGGTGTATAGCTACTGGCTGGACTATGTATACTCAAGGTACGGTGTTAAGGAACTGGCCGGACTATGTATACTCTAGATACCGGGTATAGGTACTTGCCGGATCGAGTATGTATACTCCAGGTACAGTGTATGGTTATTTGCCGGACTATAACTGCTCAAGGTAAGGTGCATAGCTACTGGCCGGACTATGTATGCTCTAGGTACGGTGTATAGCTACTAGCCGGACTATGTTTACTCTAGGTAAGGTGTATAGCTACTGGCCGGACTATGTATACTCTAGGTAAGGTGTATAGGTACTGGCCGGACCATGTATACTCTAAGTAAGGTGTATAGCTACTGGCTGGACTATGTATACTCTAGGTACGGTGTATAGCTACTGGCCGGAGTATGTATACTCCAGGTAAATTGTATAGGTACTTGCCGGATCGAGTATGTATACTCCAGGTACAGTGTATGGTTATTTGCCGGACTATAATTTGCTCCAGGTATGGTGTATAGCTACTGGCCGGACTATGTTTACTCTAAGTACGGTGTATAGCTACTGGCTGGACTATGTTTACTCTAGGTACGGTGTATAGCTACTGGCTGGACTATGTAAACTCTAGGTACGGTGTATGGTTACTGGCCGGACTATGTATACTCTAGGTACGGTGTATGGTTACTGGCCGGACTATGTATACTCTAGGTACGGTGTATGGTTACTGGCCGGACTATGTATGCCGGATGAGCCTGACTCTGGGCTTGAAATGGCTGGTCTTCTATCAATGCTATTTGAATGGTATAAGGTGAATACAAGTTAATATTCTAAGATAAGAGAGATCAGATGAAAAAACTAGTTTTTGTTTTGTTTTAACGCATTTAAAGCTATAAGACAATATCAGAAAATAAATCATGATTTGACTTCGAGCATTTTTTGTGGAAAAAAATATATTTCTGACAATTTGAAGGTGACTGCCACACTGCCGGGGGATAAATCTGGAGCAGTTGTTGAAAAAATTAAATCTGATTTTCTTCCTCCTTGGCTTAGGTGAAGTATATATTATTATTATTATAAACTAATAATAATAATAATAATGATGATGATGATGATGATGATGATGATGATGATGATGATAATAATATAATAATAATAATAATAATATAATACTAATAATAATAATAATAATAATGATGATGATGATGATGATGACATTGCTAGGGAGCTGGCTACTAACCACCACCAAGTGTTTGTTCAATGTCTCATACCCGAACCTGAAGATATTGCTAAGGTAGCTAAACCATACAGTTTTCATTTGGTTCTTGTTTATTTAGTATGTATGGAGAACTCCCAGGGATTAGGAATAAAGGGAAGGGCAATGACACTGGTCCGGCATGAGAAAGCCAGTCGCACTGCTTTGCAGACGAGTTCCTTATTACACACGCACACTCTTTTGGTACAGACACACACCATGACTACAGTCAAGGAAATTGCAGAACAATGTCGTCAATTATGATTAAGCTTGAATAATGAGTAGTTTATTTTAAATTTTAATCAAATTATATTTTTGCATGAAAATTTGGCTTATAGTGTTGACTTAAATTTATAAATAATATATAACATGTATATTAAACTTATTTTTAAGTAAACAAACAATTAACAATAAACAAATGTACTTTCTTAGACTGTACAAATACTGAGATTCTTATGTACTGTATATATCTACAGTACACGCCTTCGGTGACTTCGGTTCGATATTCCTTACACATTTGGGCCCTGGAACACCATTTTATAGAAAATATAAAATTAATATTAAAAGAAAACCAAATTATGAAATAGGCTGGTTTCATAATTGACCAATGATCATTTCACATAGACTCTATGCCATTCACTTTACAAACGATGATTTTTTGTTATAACTATAAATCAAATGATGTTTTTATTCACCTAATTTATTTTATAAATTTTAACAACTTTAAGAAATTCGAAATTGAAATGGATAGTATGGGGAACATACTGTATTAATGTATATAATTTGTGAACATTTACATGATTTGTACACTTTGAACTCCCTTTCAGGCTGAAAGGGGCTGAAAAAAATCATACTGAGAGATTCTCTAAATTCCCCTCTATTATATATTCTATTATATTCTCTATATATTCTCTTTGTTTACGGTGGTTCTAAATAAGACTCATTTCAAAAGGGGAATTGCCGATTTACAACGGTACCTTTGGAACCCTAATTTGATCAATAATATGGAAGATATTCTCGTTTTTTTAGCTCTGAAAGGGGGTTAATTCTGATAATTCCTTTTATTGTTTCTGTTGTTTTGTAAAGAAACCATGGATATTTCAGTCATTCTTTATCGTCTTTATTATTATTCTAATCAATGTGAATCTATATGTGAATCTAATATCAATGTGAACACGGAGAGAAATTAAGAATTAAAGCTTTTACTTAACCAACATATAGAAATAATCTTTTTGAGAAATTATAATCTAGGTTGGAGGACATTGGGAGATAATTGCTCCGGAAACTTATCATATCAAGGTACAGTAGCCTAGAAGGAAATCTACAGGGGCGCAACATGGGTATGTTTTAGGGGGGGGGGGATTCAATCGGTGTACAAGGTAGATTTGTATCTTTATAATGAAGCACGTACAGGTGATTTTTTCAAATGAAGCCATACACTTTTAATATTTTATAATAATGCCATTTTCACCACTTGATGCACTACTCCGTGGGGGAACTTAGGGGAACCCCCCCCCCCCAAAAAAAAAGCTGCACCTCTGTAGATCTATAAATTCTTATTTTTTTGTTTCTAAATATCTATATCCATCTATCTCCGGCTCTATCTAACTATCTTCAATCTTTTTGTAAATATATAAAATATCCATCTATCTTCATTTCTTTACATCTATTCATCTATTTTTTTTAAAATTACATATCTCTATTTCTCCTGGGTTACCCACAAAAGATGAGATTTCAGAGATGACTGTACTAAGTTTATACTGTCTCTATTTCCTTATATTTCATGATTCCTGCAACTATAAACTTTCTTTGCATAATCATTAATTAAACCATCAAAAGATTTTACTACAAGACAGAGGACTTCATTTAACTTTGGGATCGATATGCTTGAACAGTTTCAAGTCGTCTTTACAGTCTCATCCTTTAAGGGGAACTTGGATCTACTGATATATCTATTTATATATCTATCCTTCTATCTATCTATCTATCTATCTATCTATCTATCTATCTATCTATCCTTCTATCTATCTATCTATCTATCTATCTATCCTTCTATCTTTCTATCTATCTATCTATCTATTTATCTATCTATCTTTCTATCTAGGAAGGGCTGGCCAGGTTGTTCTGTCTGGTTTCCTTCGACATTATCACCTTAAACCTGTGGGAAGAGATTGCACCTAGATGGATGGATGCCATTCAAAAACATTTCCTCAAGGAATCAATTCTAAAGAAAATATATTTTATTCTAAAGTAAAAGAAGGTTAAAACTTTTGTGGAATATAGCCCTGATCTTGAACTACAGTGGTCGGCGTTGATATCACTACAGTTAGGACGAATTTTCTATTTAAGTTTTGATTTCTAACAAGGTTTTTTTTATTACAAGTTTAAAGGTGAACTAAAAAACAGTAAATTAACAACTTCTCTTTGTTTTTCTGTTTTAGCCATGCTGTTTTAAAGCTTGAATTGAAATGGAAATCGACTTTATTGTATTAATATAAACGACGACGGCTGTATCCAACTTTTGAATGTTTAATCTGGGAAAAATTACCCATTTTTAATGGTCAAGTGTAGATTACTGTCGCATTTGATCTGTCAGTCTTTTTATAAAAAAAAATAATCTTAAAGCAGTTAACTTAATCAATATAATTCAATAGAATTAGGTTTGTGCTTTCTAAAGAAATTAGCAATTCAAAAGTTTCAACCTTAATTTTGTAATTTAAAATTTACAAAAAACCAATGGATTCTTGAAAATATCTTGGTTTCACCATCAATCTAATTACAAAAAATATAATTACTAAGTCAAAATAGAAAAATAGTTTCAAAATTCAGAAAAAAAACTTAACTAGGACAACATTTCTAATGAGAAGGCGTACTGCGTAAATCATTTTGAAGTAGAACCAGGACATGGACAAATATCTTATTTTGATGTAGAACCAGAACATGAACCAATTTCTTATTTTGAAGTAGAACCAGGACATGAACAAATATCTTATTTTGATGTAGAACCAGGACATGAACAAATATCTTATTTTGAAGTAGAACCAAGACATGAACACATATCTTATTTTGAAGTAGAACCAGGACATGAACAAATATCTTATTGATTAAAGTCTTTTTTTAAATATATTTTTAAAAATTCTAAAATTGATTTAAATAAAATACAGGAATCCCTCCCTGAAATCGGAAGCATATTCTGCAGGTACTGTAAAACTGAAAAATATGAAGATTTAATAAAAGAAAAATTGAAATTGTGTTATGGACTAACTTACTAAATAGGTTAGTAGTCCAATTCAATCATGTATATTTGAAAGAGGGGTGCTCAGCCCCCGCGCGTTGGCAGCTGAACTCCAAATATATCTTTCAAGATAATTATTTTTCATCTAAATTTTTTTTATTTTTAGAATATTTGACCCAGACATGTCCCCCCTTGGATTCCAATTGGAACAGATGTATCAGTTTGCGTGCAGAAGAATGGATGGGAATGACCCTGATCAGCAACAGGTCCAGGACGCCATCTTGAGAAAATGTCGTCTTTGATATAATGATCTTTTCAAAGTTGTATTTATCTTACGTGGCATTCAAATATAAGATTTATGATAATAATTAATTGACATGGCCGCCATTCTTAATCTAATCTAAATTTAATAATTTCAAGTTAAAATTTTTAAATATCTTTAACGTTATTACAAAAATTACCATATTTTTGGAGAATAAGTCTAAATTTTATGAATAAATAATTTGTGTTATGTTCAAGTCATTACCTAATCAAATTCAATTGATTGAGAACAAAAACGTATTTTAAAAAACATACTTTTAAAGTTTTTTTTCAGACTGTTCTGGGTTGGATGCAAATTTTATGCCACCTTGGAGTAACAATACCTTTAAATATTCTCTTCTCCATGTACAGTTCAGGTATAGAGGATACAATCCCTTTAAATATTCTCTTCTCCATGTACAGTTCAGGTATAAAGGATACAATCCCTTTAAATATTCTCTTCTCCGTGTACAATGTACAGTTCAGGTATAGATGATACAATCCCTTTAAATATTCTCTTCTCCATGTACAGTTCAGGTATAGAGGATACAATCCCTTTAAATATTCTCTTCTCCATGTACAGTTCAGGTATAGAGGATACAATCCCTTTAAATATTCTCTTCTCCGTGTACAATGTACAGTTCAGGTATAGAGGATACAATCCCTTTAAATATTCTCTTCTCCGTGTACAATGTACAGTTCTGGTATAGAGGATACAATCCCTTTAAATATTCTCTTCTTCATGTACAGTTCAGATATAGAGGATACAATCCCTTTAAAGGGACTGTAGACGTATTTTAAAGTAACCCTCGGAATTGGACCAAGGAGAAAAGGAGAAAAATTCGTTTTTATAATTTTCGCAATTTTTTGCTTTGCAGAAACCTTACTCCAATACACTCCATTTCTTGTATTTTACTTGCTAGTATAGAACTGCCCTACACTAACTTCTACAGTTGACATATATTGGTTTTCTGGAGTATAAAACAATAATAGAAGAAATAAACCTTTCAAATACAACTATAATTGAAAGAAATCATCTTATCGTTACTCTTACTCCTACTCCTACTCCTACTCCTACTCCTACTTCTACTCCTACTACTCCTCCTACTCCTACTCCCATTTCTACTCCTACTCCTACTCCTAATTCTCATAATTTTCCTACTTTAAGGTATCCGAGCTTGGAGAAAGGAGAATGTTGTTCATGACGGTCTGATTTTGAAACTTCTTCAAATTTATTCTAAAATGATAGATGTACTAATTACACAATTCAAACAGCAGGTATTGAATGTTAGTTACTGCTGGGGTAACCTTTAGTCCGTTTCGCATAAAATTTTTTTTGAAGGAAAATAATGAATTTAGGGTAAAAATAGTAAAAAATGGATAACTTGCCTGATAAATTGTAATGCTCAAAATTTACCCCCCCCCCCCTTCACATTCTTGAATATATATTTTCTGCCAGATTACTTTTATTATAATTTTTAAATATGTCAAGTCTACTCCGAATTTTGTTGAGAAGCCCTTTAAAGCTATAGAAAGGGCCTCTAGATTTAAAGCTAAAGAAATGGCCTCTAAATTTAAAGCTAAAGAAATGGACTCTAGATTTAAAGCTAAAGAAATGGCCTCTAGATTTAAAGCTAAAGAAATGGCCTCTAGATTTAAATCTAAATAAATGGCCTCTAGCTTTAAAGCCAAAGAAATGGCCTCTAGCTCTAAAGCTAAAAAAAAATTACCTCTAGCTTTAAAGTCAAGGAAATGGCCTTTAGCTTTAAAGCCAAAGAAATAGACTCTAGTTTTAAAGCCAAAGAAATGGCCTCTAACATTAAAGCTAAAGAAAGGGCCTCTAGATTTAAAGCTAAAGAAAGGGCCTCTAGCTTTAAAACTAAAGAAATGGCCTCTAGCTTTAAAGCTAAAGAAATGGCCTCTAGATTTAAAGCTTAAGAAATGGCCTCTAGATTTAAATCTAAAGAAATGGCCTCTAGCTTTACAGCCAAAGAAATGGCCTCTAGCTCTAAAGCTAAAAAAAATTACCTCTAGCTTTAAAGTCAAGGAAATGGCCTCTAGCTTTAAAGCCAAAGAAATAGACTCTAGTTTTAAAGCCAAATAAATGGCCTCTAACACTAAAGCTAAAGAAAGGGCCTCTAGATTTAAAGCTAAAGAAAGCGCCTCTAGCTTTAAAGCTAAAGAAATTGCCTCTAGCTTTAAAGCTAAAGAAATGGCCTCTAGCTTTAAAGCCAAAGAAATGGCCTCTAGCTTTAAAACTAAAGAAATGGCCTCTAGCTTTAAAGCTAAAGAAATGGCCTCTAGCTTTAAAGCCAAATAAATTGCCTCTAACTTTAAAGCTAAAGAAATTGCCTCTAGCATTAAAGCTAAAGAAATGGCCTCTAGCTTTAAAGCCAAAGAAATAGCCTCTAGTTTTAAAGCTAAAGAAATGGCCTCTACATTTAAAGCTAAAGAAAGGGCCTCTAGTTTTAAAGAAAAGATTGAAATAACTTAAACTTTTAATTTTCAATTTACATATATTATAATTTCAAATTGCCAAAAAATCAAGTTAATGCGGTTACAAAAAGATATATCAATATTTTTGAAATAATAATGATTCATAGCCTAAAAAATAGCTTATTTTCTGCAGAAAGTTGACTCCATTTTGAATCTTTTCCTTCATATTTTTATGAAACTGTATCAATTTTAAATTGTAATTTAAACTTTTAGAAAATAAGACTATATTAACTCATCTGTATTAAAGCGAATATTATTCATGTTTGACAATAAAACAAGAAAACTTTTTGCATTTTGTATTTCTGAATTAGTTTTGCATATTTTGATGGACTTTGCAAATTTAAGAGTAAACCCAAAAATTTATTAAAAATACTATGTTTTTATTTATTATTTTATTTGTTTGCTCAATTTTTTTCTGTTTAGACGCCGAAGTCTACTTAGAATTTTGCATTTTTTTCTTTCTTCTGTTTCTGGGTTCTAAATTCTGTTTTCTGTATTTTTTGGTCTGGATTCTTTTTCCTGTATCCTGCATTCTGCATTCTGGATTCTTTATTTTGTATCCCGTATTCCGTGTTCTGTATCCTGTATCATGTAATCCTGTATTCTACATTCTGAATTCTATATCCTGTATTCTGTATTCTATCTTCTGAATTCTATATCCTGTACTCTATGCTCTGTATTCTATATCTTGTATTCTGTATTCTATATCCTGTACACTGTATTCTATATTCTGTATTGTATATCCTGTATTCTATATTCTGAATTCTGTATTCTATATCCTGTATTCTATCTTCTGAACTCTATATCCTGTATTCTATATTCTGAATTCTGTATTCTATATCCTGTATTCTGTATTCTATATTCTGAATTCTGTATTCTATATCCTGTACTCTATCTTCTGAATTCCATATCCTGTATTCTATATTCTGAATTCTGTATTCTATATTCTGTATTCTGTATTCTATATTCTGAATTCTATATCCTGTATTCTATATCCTGTATTCTAAAATCTCGAAATATTTATTAGTCTAGGCTATGTATAGATACATGAAGGATTAAATATTAAATCTCTAGTAAGCCCCTGTACACAATATACCCCTGTAAGCCCCTGTACACAATATACCCCTGTAAGCCCCTGTACACAATATACATATTTAGAATTTATAAACATAGTTTTCAAAACAAGTTATAATTGGATAAAATGAATCTTTGAAATGTCCTGGGTATAAAATGTCCTGGTTATGAAATGTCCTGGATGAAATGTCCTGGGTATGGAATGTCCTGGGTAAGGAATGTCCTAGTATGGAATGTCCTGGGTATAGAATGTCCTTGTATGGAATGCCCTGGGTATTAATTATGTCCTTGTATGGAATTCCCTGGGTATGGAATGTCCTTGTATGGAATGCCCTGGGTATTAAATGTCCTTGTATGGAATGCCCTGGGTATTAAATGTCCTGGGTAAAGAATGTCCTGGACACGGAATGTCCTGCGTGTAAAATGTCCTGGTTAAGGAATGTCCTAGGAATGAAATGTCCTGGTTATGAAATGTTCAGCATCTATGCAATGTCCTGTCTATGAAATGTCCTAAATATGAAAAATCCGATGTATGAAATGTCCTATCTAAGAATTGTCTATGAAGTATTTTATCTATAAAATGTCCTATTTATCATCAATCTAGGATGTGGAGGAGAATGTTGGAATGACTGGACCACAGGCTCAGAACTCATTAAACCTTGCTCTCGATATGATAACTTCAACCTGGCTCGAACAAACCTATAGGTAGGAGGAATATATTGGAACAAACCTATAATATATTGGAACAAACCTATAGGTAAGAGGAATATATTGGAGTATTTTCCACATTTTTGATTATATAAAAATGATGATATCTTCCACATTTTATATCATAGAAGAACAAAGATATCTTCCACATTTTATATAATAGAAGAACAACGATATCTTCCACATTTTATATTATAGAAAAACAACGATATCTTCCACATTTTCTATTATTGAAACAACGATATCTTCCACATTTTATATTATAGAAGAACAACTATATCTTCCACATTTTATATTTTTGAAGAACAACGATATCTTCCACATTTTATATTTTAGAAGAACCAATGATATCTTCCACATTTTATATTATATAAGAACAACGATATCTCCCACATTATATATTATAGAAACACAACGATATCTTCCACATATTATATTAAAGAAGAACAACTATATCTTCCACATTTTATATTTTAGAAGAACAACGATATCTTCCACATTTTATGTTTTAGAAGAACCATGATATCTTCCACATTTTATATTATAGAAGAACAACGATATCTTTCACATTTTATATTATAGAAGAACAACGATATCTCCCACATTTTATACTTTAGAAGAACCATGATATCTTCCATATTTTATATTATAGAAGAACAACGATATCTTCCACATTTTATATTACAGAAGAACCATGATATCTTCTACATTTTATATGATAGAAGAACAACGATATCTTCCACATTTTATATTATAGAAGAACAACGATATCTTCCACATTTTATGTTATAGAAGAACCACGATATCTTCCACATTTTATATTATAGAAGAACAAAGATATCTTCCACATTTTATATTTTAGAAGAACAACGATATTTTCCACATTTTATATTATAGAAGAATGATATCTTCCACATTTTATATTATAGAAGAACAACGATATCTTCCACATTTTATGTTATAGAAGAACCACGATATCTTCCACATTTTATAATATAGAAGAACAACGATATCTTCCACATTTTATGTTATAGAAGAACAACGATATCGTCCACATTTTATATTTTAGAAGAACCATGATATCTTCCACATTTTATATTATAGAAGAACAACGATATCTTCCACATTTTCTATTTTAGAAGAACAACGATATCTTCCACATTTTACATCTAGAAGAACCATGATATCTTTCACATTTTATATTATAGAAGAACAACGATATCTTCCACATTTTATATTTTAGAAGAACAACGATATCTTCCATATTTTATATTATAGAAGAACAACGATATCTTCCACATTTTATATTTTAGAAGAACAACGATATCTTCCACATTTTATATTATAGAAGAACAACGATATCTTCCACATTTTTGATCAGATAAAGTTCTAAAGTCTACCATTGTAAAAAGGGCATATCACTTGGAATTACAGCGACATTTGTTTTTAGGAGAAAACCAACTAATGAAACCCAGCAGGATATTGAAGAGAACTTGTTCATCTTTACACAACTATTCAGGTCAACATGGGACTTAGAAATTTGCGGAAGACGACATTTAAACTCAAGTTATGATTCTAATAAACATGTGCATTGTAAACAGACCCATTTCTGATAAAAAGTGATTTGAAAAAGTTAATGGTAAAACCATTTGCTTAGGAGAAACATGTTTATAATGTTATGTTCCTCTTTCACAATTTTCTGGTCCTCACTGTAAAACATATATTTTTAACATATGGAATTAATTTAATTGGGTCTGTTGAAACATGTGCTAATGCTTTGTCCTCTAGGGACTATTTAAAATCAAAACTTGAGTCTAACTGTCGCTTTCATATATTCCGCAGTTTTATATTGGGAACTCAGTGTTGCACTTTTGCTTTTAAAGTCTATTCACCCAATTAGACTCTCAAAACCAAGCTAAGAACATTCCCGTGGTTCTCCCGAGTTCCTCAATCAAAATTTGAGGCAAATCGGTTCAGGGGTTCCTGAGTTATGATCGGAAAAACAAACAGACAAAATGGCAAACAGATATTACCACCTTCTTTAGATACATACCAATTTGGATGATAACCTTTAAAGTCAGTTTATTTTTAATGTTTGCCACACATAAAGTTAATATATTTCACCTGTCTTCTGTTCATTAGGAGAATTTTTGGTTTTATTCAATTCAGCTTTAAAACATTTTAAGATACAAAAAAGAATTAGGAAATTCCAGGATTCGATCAAAGATCTTCAGAACATGATTTATATGCCGTGTAGAACTTTTGTGTTGTTTATCTTTAATCTTGAACACTTGATCTCGATTTCCAATGTTGGCACTTTTAATTTAAAGATCAATAATTGATCCAAAGATTAACAACACAAATGTTCTAAGCTCTGAGTCGATCTTTTGTTAATCTGGAGATTAATTTAATGTTTAATCGATATCTGCAGTGTAATTGTGGTGTTAGGTCATTTCCCCAGCGCAACTTCCTCAACACAATTTCCTCAGTCACAACTTCCCCAACAGCAACTTCCCCCGTCACTAATTTCCCCAACAGCAACTTCACTTCACAACGGCTGTTGCTACACATTTTGAATGTTTCCTTTTCTCAACACAGTTCCAGAATGATTAAGATTTGTCTCTTTACATTGATTGTAGGTTGTATTCATACTTATTCGGATCCACCAGAACATTTCTCTTCTTCGAGGACAGTGTTAAACTGCCAACATTGTCGACTTTAATCCAACTGATTTTTTCACATTCAAAAAGTTGCAAATTTTTTTATTTTAGAATTGTGCATTTGTTCATTGGAATAATGTTAAAAACGGAAATATTGGATATTTTACTGCATGGGGAAGTTTCTGTTTTACTGCATGGGGAAATTGTTGTTGGGGAAGTTAGTGACTGGGGAAGTTAGTGTTGGGGAAATTGGTTGTTGGGGAAATTGCTGTTGGGGAAGATGTCTCGGGGAAGTTGTGACTGGGGAAGTTGCGCTGGGGATCTAACCTAACACCGTAATTGTAACCTACAGGAGTACATAAAATTAAAGAGATTTAGCATTGATCCTCAAAATATAAGTGCCCACTTTCAATATCAGTTTCCTAAACAATTAACAATTAATTATATGAGTTCAGGAGTCTTCTCCGACATATTCTATCCAACGAGCAACGAGAAGGAGCAGGAGAAACTCGGAACTCTGTCAGGAAATTCATCAAATATTTATCCTTTAAAATTGTATACAATCCCTTTAATATGTATACAATATCTTTAATATGTATACAATCCCTTTAATACGTATACAATCCCTTTAATATGTATACAATCCCTTTTATTTGTATACACTCCCTTTACCATGTGTACAATCCCTTTTATTTGTATACACTCCCTTTACCATGTGTACAATCCCTTTAATACGTATACAATACCTTTACCATGTTTACAATCCCTTTAATATGTATACAATTTCTTTAATTTGTATACAATCCCTTTAATATGTAAACAATCCCTTTAGTATGTATATAATATCTTTAATATGTATACAATCCCTTTAATATGTATACAATATTTTTAATTTGTATACAATCCCTTTAATATGTAAACAATCCCTTTAGTATGTATATAATACCTTTAATATGTATACAACCCCTTAAATATGTATACAATTTCCTTTACCATGTTTACAATCCCTTTAATATGTATATAATTCCTTTAATATGTATATAATTCCTTTAATATGTATACAATTCCCTTTAATATGTATACAATCCCTTTAATGGGTAAACCATCCCTTTAGTATGTATACAATACCTTTAATATGTATAAAATACCTTTACCATGTTTACAATCCCTTAAATATGTTTACAATTCCCTTTACCATGTTTACAATCCCTTAAATATGTTTACAATTCCCTTTACCATGTTTACAATCCCTTTAATATGTATACACATCCTTTATTATGTATACAATCCCTTTAATATGAATACAATTCCCTTTACCATGTTTGCAATCCCTTAAATATGTATACAATACCTTTACCATGTTTACAATTTCTTTAATATGTTTACAATTTCCTTTACCATGTTTACAATTCCTTTAATATGTATACACTCTCTTTAATATGTATACAATTCCTTTAATTTGTAAACAATCCCTTTAGTATGTATGTAATACCTTTAATATGTATACAATCCCTTAAATATGTATACAATACCTTTACCATGTTTACAATTCCTTTAATATGTATACAATACCTTTACCATGTTTACAATTCCTTTAATATGTATACAATTTCTTTAATTTGTATACAATTCATTTAATATGTATACAATCCATTTAATATGTATACAACCCCTTTAATATGCATACAACCCCTTTACCATGTATACAATCCCTTTAATATGTATAAATCCCTTTAATATGTATACAATTCCTTAAATATGTATACAATATCTTTAATATGTATACAATCCCTGAAATATGTATACAACCCCTTTAATATGTTCCCTTTACCCGTATACAGTCCCTTTAATGTACATAGAGACCCTTTAATGTGATACAGTTTCCGTTTCTGAAAATATTCTCTTTAATCTCAGCAACTAACTTTATCAATTAACTTGAGAAAAACTATTTTTGTCAAGTTTAGTTTCAAATTTGCAGTTTTTCTCAATAATGGTGGAATAGGTAATATATTTTGTTGAATGCAGTATTGGACATACACTAATAGCAGAGGATAAAAAGGAAACCTTGAAACGACAACCAGGGATTGGAGGGTTTATGGCAGTTCTCTCCAGGTATCATAGGTTACTGTAGTTCTCTCCAGGTACGATAGGTTACTGCAGTTCTCTCCAGGTACCATAGGTTACTGTAGTTCTCTCCAGGTACCATAGTATACTGTAGTTCTCTCCAGGTACCATAGGTTACTGTAGTTCTCTCCAGGTACCATAGGTTACTGTAGTTCTCTCCAGGTACCATAGGTTACTGTAGTTCTCTCCAGGTACCATAGGTTACTGCAGTTCTCTCCAGGTACCATAGGTTACTGTAGTTCTCTCCAGGTATCATAGGTTACTGTAGTTCTCTCCAGGTACCATAGGTTACGGTAGTTCTCTCTAGGTATCATAGTATACTGTAGTTCTCTCCAGGTACCAAAGTTTCTAGACTCTAGTTTCTATAGTTTCCAGGGTACTGTAGTTCTCTCTAGGTACCATAGTTAGTTCTCTTCAGGTACCATATGTTATTGTAGTTCTATCCAGGTACCATAGTATACTGTAGTTTTCTCCAGGTACCAAAGTTTACTGCTGATTTATTTAGGTAACATAGTTTCTAGATTCTAGTTTCTATAATTTCTAGTTTCTAGTTTCTAGTTTCTAGTTTCTAATTTCTAGTTTCTAGTTTCTAGTTTCTAGTTCCTAGTTTCTAGTTCCTAGTTTCTAGTTTCTAGTTTCTAGTTTCTAGTTTCTAGTTTCTAGTTTCTAGTTTCTAGTTTCTAGTTTCTAGTTTCTAGTTTCTAGTTTCTAGTTTCTAGTTTAAGTTCCTAGCTTCTAAGAATCTAGATTCTATGTAGTGAAACATTTCAGCAAATAAAACTGATTCAAAATCATTTCCCGGGGGAATTGATTTGCCAAGATTAGGGAGAGTTGAGAAAATCTAAAATAATTCATTTTTTAGTTATTTGACGATATATTCTTCAAAATCTTTTCATGACAAAATACAATAAATTTTTCCAAAAAGTTTAAATTATCATTTTAAACTCTGAAAGTATTTATTGAAATAAAGTACAATTAAATATGAAATTATTATTCACGATTAACATGATTACAGATGAGTATACCATGAGGTCCATTTTTTAAATATTCAAATTTTTAAGAGATTTTACAAGATGTACTGAATCCTGTTTAAAGAGGCTGTACAAGTATCAAAGATGTACTGCATCCTATTTAAAGAGTCTGTACTAGAATCTAAGATGTACTGCCTGCAACCTATTTAAAGAGACTGTACAAGGATCTAATATGTACTGCATCCTATTAAAAGAGGCTATACTAGTATCTAAGATGTACTGCATCCTATTTAAAGAGGCTGTACTAGAATCTAAGATGTACTGCATCATATTTAAAGAGGCTGTACTAGAATCTAAGACGTACTGCATCCTATTTAAAGAGGCAGTACAAGTATCTAAGATGTACAGCATCCTATTTAAAGAGGCTGTACAGGAATCTAAGATGTACTGCATCCTATTTAAAAAGGCTGTACTAGAATCTAAGATGTACTGCATCCTATTTAAAGAGGCTGTACTAATATCTAATGTGTACGGCATCCTATTTAAAGAGGCTGTACTAGAATCTAATGTGTACTGCATCCTATTTAAAGAGGCTGTACTAAAATCTAAGATGTACAGCATCCTATGTAAAGAGGCTGTACTAAAATCTAAGATGTACAGCATCCTATTTAAAGAGGCTGTACAGGAATCTAAGATGTACTGCATCCTATTTAAAGAGGCTGTACTAAAATCTAAGATGTACAGCATCCTATTTAAAGAGGCTGTACAAGAATCTAAGATATACTGCATCCTATTTAAAAAGGCTGTACTAGAATCTAAGATGTACTGCATCCTATTTAAAGAGGCTGTACTAGAACCTAAGATGTACTGCATCCTATTTAAAGAGACTGTACTGGAATCTAAGATGTACTGCATCCTATTTAAAGAGGCTGGACTAGAATCTAAGATGTACTGCATCCTATTTAAAGAGGCTGTACTAGAATCTAAGATGTACTGCCTGCAACCTATTTAAAGAGGTTGTATTAGAATCTAAGATGTACTGCATCCTATTTAAAGAGGCTGTACTAGAATCTAATGTGTACTGCATCCTATTTAAAGAGGTTGTACTAGTATATAAGATGTACTGCATCCTATTTAAAGAGGCTGTACTAAAATCTAAGATGTACTGCATCCTATTTAAAGAGGCTGTACAGGAATCTAAGATGTACTGCATCCTATTTAAAAAGGCTGTACTAGAATCTAAGATGTACTGCATCCTATTTAAAGAGGCTGTACTAAAATCTAAGATGTACTGCATCCTATTTAAAGAGGCTGTACAGGAATCTAAGATGTACTGCATCCTATTTAAAAAGGCTGTACTAGAATCTAAGATGTACTGCATCCTATTTAAAGAGGCTGTTCTAGAATCTAAGATGTACTGCATCCTATTTAAAGAGGCTGTACTAGAATCTAATGTGTACTGCATCCTATTTAAAGAGGCTGTACTCGAATCTAAGATGTACTGCATCCTATTTAAAGAGGCTGTACTAGAATCTAATGTGTACTGCATCCTATTTAAAGAGGCTGTACTTGAATCCAAGTATACTGCATCCTATTTAAAGAGGCTGTACTAGAATCTAAGATGTACTGCATCCTATTTAAAGAGGCTGTACTAGAATCTATGATGTACTGCATCCTATTTAAAGAGGCTGTACTAGAATCTAATGTGTACAGCATCCTATTTAAAGAGGCTGTACTAGAATCTAAGATGTACTGCATCCTATTTAAAGAGGCTGTACTAGAATCTAATGTGTACTGCATCCTATTTAAAAAGGCTGTACTAGAATCTAAGATGTACTGCATCCTATTTAAAGGGGCTGTACTTGAATCCAAGATGTACTGCATCCTATTTAAAGAGGCTGTACAATCTAAGATGTACTGCATCCTATTTAAAGAGGCTGTACAGGAATCTAAGATGTACCGCATCCTATTCATAATTGCATAAGTTTGCTTTGTTTTGCAAATTTTCACCTGATGAAATATATTAACCAAAACAATTTAAAAATGGGTTTGATTAATATGTTTTATAAAAGAAATTTTTTTTGCATTGTGTCATAAAAGAAAACTTATCGAGATTACAATTTTACACTGCGATAAATAACTCAAACTCAAAGTAAAAACACATTTAATGTTTTAAACTTGAAAACGATCCTTACATCCTTACACAATAACCTAATAATGTTAACGCTATGGTGGTAGGCGATTATATCAATACAATGAAGACAACTTTCGATTTCATTTTTGATTTATATCAAGCTTTTAAACAGCATGCAGAGACACATAAACATGGAAACAAAGAGAAGCTGTCGATAAAGAAAGCTTCTCTCTGATTATTTGTAAACTTGTAATTCTAAAAAAGCTTGTAAACAATCAAAACTGAAATAAAATTTCGTCTTCATTGTATAGAAAAGTTGGTTTGAAATTTATTTTTCTTTTAGCACTTTCAAAACTACTGTTGAGACGATGCCTGAGGATGGATCAGATTCAGATAGTTCTCTCACTGATCTAGATTTAGAACAAATTAAGGTGAAGTTAAGGGGGCGTTCAGCAATTTAAAAAATGGGGTTACGCATAAACTTCTTTTTCAACTTCGAGAACGTTCATTTTATATCTTTAAAGTCTGAGAAAAGGATAAAAGAAAAGTAAGAATTTATGCTAAGATAAAATATAAACGAAAGAAAGAAAGAAAGAAAGAAAGAAAGAAAGAAAAAAGAAAGAAAGAAAGAAAGAAAGAAAGAAAGAAAGAAAGAAAGCAAGAAAGAAAGAAAGAAAGAAAGAAAAAAAGAAAGAAAGAAAGAAAGAAAGCAAGAAAGAAAGAAAGAAAGAAAGAAAGAAAGAAAGAAAAAAAGAAAGAAAGAATGAAAGAAAGAAAGAAAGGAAGAAAGAAAGAAAGAAAGAAAGAAAGAAAGACAGAAAGAAAGGAAGGAAGAAAGAAAGAAAGAAAGAAAGAAAGAAAGAAAGAAAGAAAGAAAGAAAGAAAGAAAGAAAGAAAGAAAGAAAGAAAGAAAGAAAGAAAGAAAGAAAGAGAGGAAGAAAGGAAGCAAGAAAGAAAGAAAGAAAGAAAGAAAGGAAGAAAGAAAGAAAGAAAGAAAGAAAGAAAGAAAGAAAGAAAGAAAGAAACAAAGAAACAATATCTGAGGAAGAAAATATGGAAAGAAGAAAGGAACAAATCAAGAAACGATGAAAGGACAAAAGGAAGAAAGTATGAAAGAAATAAAGGATCAAATGAAGAAAGGATCAAAGGAGAAAAGGGAGAAAGGATGAAAGAAATAAAGGATCAAATGAAGAAAGGATCAAAGGAGAAAAGGGAGAAAGGATGAAAAAACTAAAGAATTAAATGAAGAAAGGATCAAATAAAGAAAGGATAAAAGGACAAAAGGGAGTAAGGATGAAAATGGAGAAAGTCAAGGAAAGGAAGAAAGGAAATCATTTAAAACCAGTTTTAATTCTAGGATGGACTGATTGAGGTTGAAGATCATCCTCCTTTCATGCAACTACTCTACAGGCTCATTATACTCATATCAGGGAAATAAAACAAAACAGATTATTATCCTAATATCAGGGATATAAAGCAATATATATATAGATATAAAACTTTCATATGTAAAACATACTATTTTTCCACTTTTACTACTTCAAAAGAGCATGAAGTTAAACTCTAGTTTTATTCTTTATGCTGGGTTTCTTATTTATTATTATCCGTATATCTGGGATATACAACAAAACAAATTACTATCCGTATCCTTGATATACAACAAAACAAATTACTATCCGTATATCCGGGATATACAACAAAACAAATTGCTTTCCGTATATCCGGGATATACAACAAAACAAATTGCTATCCGTATCTGGGATATACAAAAAAACAAATTATTTATACTTCAGAAGTTTAAAAGAATATATGTGACGAATTCCCCCAATATTATTGAATTTAAAGAGCTTCGACTGAATTTCCCAATCTAAAAATAAGGCAAATCATGGCTTCCTGCAAACAAGTAAACAAATAAATATTAAAACAGAATTTATAAATAAAAATGTAAAATTAGTTTTACTCGGGCCCAATGTAAGGGAAATGGGAGAAGTAGTAGTATTATATACAATCAAAGACTTTATCCTATACTGTGTAATCATTAAATCTATATCTAAATTTGGCTTGTCTGTCTGTCTGTCTGTCTGTTTGTATCCAATAAACGTCAAAACGGCTGAACCGATCGGGCCCAAATTTTTTGTGGGACATCTAGGGACCCCAGGGAAGGTTTATGAATGATTGAAATTTTAAATATTTGTCTCCATCAAAATTCGATCTCCATTAAATTTTTGAAAATTTTGAAAATCCACGAAATTTTTTGTGAAAATCCGCGAATTATTTTTGTTTTGTTTTACGATGTACACAAAGAGAACATGTTCACAATTAATTTAGAAGATGGGCGCAAAGCGCCCTCTAAGGCTAGTACCTATATATAAATTTGACTTGTCTGTCTGTTTGTTTGTATCCAAAAAACGTCAAAACGGCTGAACCGATCGGCCCCAAAAGTTTGTGTAGGACATCACGTGACCCCAGAGAAGGTTTATGAATGATCAAAATTTAAAAATTTGTGTTCAAATTTTTTTTATTTTTGTAAATAAAATTTTTTTAAAAATTTAAAATTTTTTTTATAAAAACAAAGAGAGCATGTTCATAATTTAAATAGAAGTAAAAGCCTAGTCTTGTATAGAAGTATAGAACTCTGTTTTTGTTTTGATAAGCAGAGACGGATGAACCAGATATAGTTTTCTATACTTTGGATGCTCTAAAGTGTCTGGCGCTCAATGAGGATGGTTTAGTAGAGATGTCCAAGTAAGATCTCAACCAAGGATTAAAAATAAAAATTTAGAAAATCTGTTAAAAGATTCTTTGTTTTACACGTTTACTTTGGTTTTCCTCTTAAATATTATAGTGTTATAATGGTATAACAATCTTTTCTTTATGCATATCAAACTTAAAGAATATTTTACTAAAATTTTTTCAACTATTTCTATCAATTAAACATAAAAAATAATCATTTAACGCTAATATTATATATCTTTATCCTTTTGTACTTGTACGCATAAATAATATTAAATGCAATGTTTAATTCAAAACGTTTACAATCTGATTTTATGATCACTCTTTGGATCCTGAAATATCAAAGGTTGCAAAGATTAAAAGATTGAAGTCTAAATTAGTACAAATTGAAGAAAGAAATTGCTTTAAGAAAAGTAGACTTTAAAAAATTTATAACAGAGCTGAAGCTGGGCTTAGAATTTAACAGATGCCATAAATTTCCGCCTCACTTCTAACTGTGTATGAATAGAAACTATGATATAACATAAATCTTAATAATTTCAGGAAATATAAGAAGATGTTTTGTTGGCTGCAGGCTCAATATATCATTCCGACCACATGGAAACTGTTAGATACAAACCATTCTCAGGTGGGTCATTAATTTATTCATTCATTCACTCTTCTCCCTCAGTCAGGGGAGAACTTCATGAGATACTCCCACATGAAGGGAGTGAAACCCCCCAAAAAACACGTCCCTGCCCCTGGTTGATTCATCCTTTCATTTACTCACACTCATTCATCATCTGATTATTCCTCTGTTATTCAATAACTTGGCGTGTAATGCTTTATCTATTCTTGTAATTTGTTGAGTATCTTTGTAATTCTTTGACACTTTCATGTACTGCCTTCTTGATATTCATTGACAATTATTATTATATTGACCTAACTTTCAAATTCATTGACAATTCTTGTAAATATTGACCTAACTTTGAAATTCATTGACAATTCTTGTAATTTATTGACCTAACTTTCAAATTCATTGACAATTCTTGTAATTTATTGACCTAACTTTCAAATTTTTTGAAAATTCTTGTAATTTATTGACTTAACTTTCAAATTCATTGACAATTCTTGTAATTTATTGACCTAACTTTCAAATTCATTGACGATTCTTGTAATTTATTGACCTAACTTTCAAATTCATTGACAATTCTTGCAATTTATTGACCTAACTTTCAAATTAATTGACAATTCTTGTTATTTATTGACCTAACTTTCATTGACAATTCTTGTAATTTATAGACCTAACTTTCAAATTCATTGACACTTTTTGTAATTAATTAACTCTTCTTGTAATTAATTTACCCTTCTTGTAATTAATTGGCCCTTTTAGTAATTAATTGACCCTTCTTGTAATTAATTTACCCTTCTTGTAATTAATTGACCCTTCTTGTAATTACATTACCCTTCTTGTAATTAATTGACCCTTATTGTAATTAATTAACACTTCTTGTAATTAATTGACCCTTATTGTAATCAATTAACACTTCTTGTAATTAATGTTCAGATTGCCACAATAGCTGTTCCTATTCTTCTACATAGCTTGCCAGTCAGAGCAGGATCGGATATACTCTGGAAAATATTAGATCAGGTATCAGAACTAGTATACCAGAATATTCTGGTTTCAGAACTAGTATTAGTACCAGAATATTCAGGTATCAGAACTAGTATTAGTACCAGAATATTCTGGTATCAGAACTAGTATTATAGTACCAGAATATTCTGGTATCAGAACTAGTATTAGTACAAGAATATTCTGGTATCAGAACTAGTATTAGTACCAGAATATTCTGGTATCAGAACTAGTGTTAGTACCAGAAAATTTTGGAAAATATGAGATCAGGTATCAGAACTAGTACTAATACCAGAATATTCTGGAAAATATTAGATCAGGTATCTAAACTAGTACTAGTACCAGACTATTCTGGTATCAGAACTTGTACTAGTACCAGAATATTCTGGAAAATATTAGGTCAGGTATCAGAACTAGTACTAGTAACAGAATATTCTGGATTATATTAGATCAGGTATCTAAACTTACTATAGTACCAGAATATTCTGGTTCAATCTTTTCTCTGATCAAGTATGCTTGAGATATCCATTACATTAATAAATATTTTTAACTTCCGTATTTCCATGCTACAGAGACAATGGAAGAGATTTCAAGAATTAAAACTTTTAAAGCTAGAAAAATGACGATATCTTCAACATATTTTATTCGATTAATATTTAAAGGGTAAATGGCCCTCTTTAATGTAATCAGCTTAGATTTTATGCATTACAGGGATTTAAACAGAGAAATTAAACAATTCGAACTTAATCCTGAAATATTATTTTCTTTTATTATTTCTACTTAATCAACCCAAATATGAAATATAAATCATGTACATTTGAAATACAGGGTTAATAAAAAATAACTTTACATGAAAAACTACCGATATTCAACTTTAAAAAAAAATTATTTTAGATTTTGATTTCTTACTTTTTCTCAAAGTGGAGAAATATAATTTTTAAAGGGGCAGTAAGCATAATTTCAAGGAATTTTTCTAAAGATGTCAATGCCCGATTCACAACGTACCCATTAAACCGTTGCCATAAGAATGGATATGATATCAATGTTTATAATTTTTAAAACGGATAATTTTCAATTGTGGTTTCTGTAAAAAGTAACTCGCGCATTTATCTTGGATTCAGAAAAAATATTTGTATTTTCAAAGTAAACACTTCTAACCCGGGAAAACAACGACAAGACCTTCCACACTATTGATCTGCTAAAGATGTAAGGGCTCAAGGGTGAATCAGGCATTGCCTTCTTTGGATGGAGAGTCACTTTAAAGTACACTTCCAGTCCTTTTATTAAACATATTTAAGGATTTCAATCATGCTGATTGGAAGAGAAGGTTCGCTGCTGTTGAGAAGACGACCTTAGTATTCAGGAAACCTTGTTATCTAATGTAAATACAAGACGGATGTCGTAGCCTGACATGGGAACCATCTTTCACATAAAAAATCAATGAAATATTCATTTAATGCTTTTAATCTCCTCGGATAGAAAACGAACACGGATGCATCTATTCTTGTTTACAAATTCCACCCAGAGAGAGCTGGTTTTAATATGTACGCAGAGTATACGCAACTGCAACTAATTTTCCTTGCATTAGTACCTTGAGTCCACCATTCCGTTGCCCCTTTGCACTTAATTTTTCTTCTTTAAGGTCTTGTTCAGGTATTTAAAAATAAATCTGAGGAACAAAACAAAGCCCATCTTATCAAGGTTCAGGGGATGCCAGAAAAACTGCAAAAACTTTTTTTTGTGAATTTCGTGGATTCTTACGAATACTGTCCGTACCCCAGTACGTTTTTAGTCTATTTAAACCTTTGCTAAACAAGATCCCATGAATGAAAAAATAAAATTTCTCTCCTTGAAGTTCTGGACAAATTGATTTCCTGCTCTAACTGTTTGAAGGACCAATGTAAAGTTGGAGATATTGAGTTTACAATATTTTCATAGAAAAGATCAAACTGGGGACCCCCTTCAACGCCTAGAGTTCCGCCCAGAGCTAGAAACTCTTGTATTGTGGATATCGAGATCAATACTCGATCTTGATCTTTTGTTAATCTGCAGATTAATTTATTCGATATCCCGCATGGTAATCTTACCCAATCAGGTGTTATAGGGTGCTTTGATCAGAGGAGGAATATATATGGAATTGTTCCCTAAATTAAAAGTGCCCATAGTGGATATCAGTATCAAGGGAACTATGAATATCCTACACATTCCCAGCTCTGAGTACATAACAAAGGGTTTGAACCAGGTTCCTGGATTCTGGTCCTGTTCGTCAAAGCCAACGATTGAGAAGCGTTCTCTCTCATGCGTTCTGTCTCCTCCTCTCATCTATGGATGATATTTCCGTTCATGTTGCCCAGAGATCAACCGTATATATTGGAACCATACATGATAAGGAACCAACCAACAACTATTATATACCTCTTGATATAAGTTTCAAGTTTATCTGAAGTCTTAAGTTTAATTTCTTTAGTTTATGAACCCGACTAAGGGGATGTTTTTTGCTCAATTAGACTTAACCTGTTCCAACATTTTTTTAAACCTAAATCCTTATTTTAGTCTAAATGGCATATATTGAATCGGGACAAGGGAATAGAGTCAAATTTTCTAATCCTTATATATTTGCAACCTGATGGTGTATACCTTTGATATTGCAAGTTTAGATTATGTTATTTAACATAGTTTGAAATTTCTAAGGTCTATGATATTGAGTTGCAAAGATGAAGGGATCAGAGTTCTTGGAAAAAAACTCAATTAATTTTTCTATAAATGTTTAAATCACAGGCAGCCGTAGTAAATTTGAATTTCCGAGCCGGGTCAACCTTTTCGGTCCCAGTTTGTACTGTACCTAGATCTATGGACAGGACTTGATGGTGCAACAAGATTGACGCGGTCTGACTTTATGGTTCATATCGGTTGAATTTACTTTTACTAAAGGGGCAGAATTGCTTGAAATCGGGGCCCCTGAACTTTTATTGGTCTATAGAGTAGAGGGTGTGGGTTTTCAGATTTATCCGTCGTTTAAAGGATTAAGGAAGGAATTAACTTTATCTATTGGACTAAACAAGATACGGATTATTTCTATTTGTGTGGATTAACAATACAAAGTTTTGACCTTCAAGAAATTCAATTTGCAATGAAATGGATTACTGTTTTTTTAAAAGAGGTAAATGGCGAATTATGTTTTGTTATGAATTGTGAATTATTTCTTGATTTATATTGGATGTTTAACTTTTGATACAAATAGAAACATTCGGTAACAGCGTTCAAACTTATTTTATTATTACTTTTTTAAAATACATCGTTTAAAAAGCCTCAATTTACTCAAAATTAAATCTATGTTAGCCGAATTATATATATTTATACTAAATATTTCAAATTGATTGATTTATTGATAGTGTTATTGTTTTGGTTTTTTTAGGAATTAGAAATTGGAACATTTTTTACATTCACATTCACAAGTACTTTTTCAGTAATTTTGGGTTCCTTCAAATTTTTTTTTTCAGAATTTTTATTTTTAACTTCGAGAATTTTTGATATTGTTATTTTTGATCGAAACCGAACATTAACAAACAATGGTTCTAAGGTTTGAGAAAAGGCAGTATTGACGTATTTAAACTTATTTTAAATATGTAATCTAAAACTTAGATGAAAATATAAAGTATATGCTTTTCAGGATTTGACGAGTAAAATAATTTTTTTTAAATCCCTGAACTTTCAAGAATCTAAAACATAATATTGATTTTCCTGGAAGATCAAATTTAATAAGAAAGGAAACTAAATAAACGATGTTTTTTTATTTCTTTTTATCTGTGGCCAGAGGTCTATACTTTTAGTTAATCTTTTATTTTTCAATAGCCTTGGGACCATATTCTTGATTGTCTCTCTAATTTAGTTTTAAGTTTTAATCTAAATGCAGATGAGCTGCAATATTTTTTAATTTGAACAGAAAGCAAGCAAAAATAAGTTAAAACTTCTATATTGAAATAAAATCAAACAGCAGATAACTTTTCTCTAAGATAGAAATAGAGATCCACGAAACGACTTGAATCTGTGTCAGGAACTCTGATTTTCTAATCCCTATATCTTTGTATCCCAATGTCGTAGACCTTGGATATTTCAAACCATGAAATCGTTTAGATCAAATAATCTAAGTTTAAAACATAAAAGGTCTACGCCACCATGTTGCAAAGATATAGGGTTTTTGAAAATTTAAGTTTGTGGCAAAGACTTAATTCCTTAATTTGGAAATAGCATTTGCTTGAACAAATTAGCTTCTTTCGTTGGATGGAATAATTTTATTCTAGTACCCATAGAATCATAAAACTGCCAGATAATGATTTTTAAATTTTTATTTTCAAGTTTGATGTTGTGTGCGAAGATAGGCCTCATCTCCTAAAATCTTTATACCAGCTTTTCAACATGCTTATAGACAGGAATATTGACATTTCAAACAATTAAACATACTTATAGACAGGAATATTGATATTTCAAACAATTAAACATGATATTGACATTTCAAACATTTAAACATGCTTATTGACAGGAATATTGACATTTCAAACAATTAAACATACTTATAGACAGGAATATTGATATTTCAAACAATTAAACATGCTTATAGACAGGAATATTGATATTTCAAACATTTAAACATGCTTATTGACAGGAATATTGACATTTCAAACAATTAAACATACTTACAGACAGGAATTTTGATATTTCAAACAATTAAATATACTTATAGACAGGAATATTGATATTTGAAACAATTAAACATGCTTATAGACAGGGATATTGATATTTGAAACAATTAAGCATGCTTATAGACAGGAATATTGATATTTCAAACAATTAAACATACTTATAGACAGGAATATTGATATTTCAAACAATTAAACATGCTTATAGACACTTATAGACAGGGATATTGATATTTCAAACAATTAAACATACTTATAGACAGGGATATTGATATTTCAAACAATTAAACATACAGCAAGAAACTGATTTTTCATTTAGCTCTTCAACATGCTCAGTGACAGGAAAAAATGTATATTTTTCATAAAGAAACTGATTACTCTTCCCAAACTTTAGAATTCTAATTCTTTATATCTTCCTAAGCGATGAGCCTTTAGCTGAAATAGCTAACCTTTTGCCTCAAATCCTTATATCTTTATATCCTGATGATTCGTGAATGTTATTTCTCAATTATCAACATGGTTTTTTCTTCAAAAAAAGTGACACCTAAATCATGAAACTTGGGTTTCAAAACCGGGTAGCAACTCAATACTCTGTCTTAAGTTTTCGACATCAAACATAAAGTATTGAAATGTCAATTTGAACCATAGGCATGTTCTTTCTTGGGAGTTTTTCTACTCCAGGTTCGATACAGTGATTAGTGAGATACTGGAACAGGATTCAGATAGGGATATAGAGGATACTAAGGTTAGATTATATATTTTCAAATATCTGCAAAACTTAACATTGTTATTTTTAAAACTTTATATTTAAGTCAAATTTTAGATTTAAAATTTCTAATTTAAGCAAAATTTTGTTGCAATTAAGAATTAACTCTTAAAGTTTCAGGATAATTGAGTGTCTTTCCATATAAAGTCAATGCTGGTACGGTACGGTACCCTTGAAACATTTATCTGATCAATAACGTGTAAACTAAAGTTTTTCTGGGTTTAACATTATTTTATCATTTCTGTAGAGAAACTAGAATTGAAAGTAATCAGATTAATAAACATTGACATCTTATTCATATCTGATCAATCGGGCGTTAACATCTTTGCAATGAGGGTTACGTGACATTACGCTCACTGTCTTTTTAATCAAAACTTTTTCCATATTTAGAATGGAGGTGATGGTGTTCGGAACGGAGTAGACGGGGGTAAAATAGAAACGGATGGAGGTATTATGATGGATGGAGGGAGTGGAGGAGAGGGTACTGGCAATGGATTGGATGGAGGTAGAGGTGGTGGAGGGGATGGATCTAGAACAAGGATTAAAAGTGGGACCGACTCATACAGATCCTTAGCTCAGCATCAAACCTATCCTTATAAGGTGATACATGATACAGATCCTTAGCTCGCATCAAACCTATCCTTATAAGGTGATACATGATACAGATCCTTAGCTCAGCATCAAACCTATCCTTATAAGGTGATACATGATACAGATCCTTAGCTCAGCATCAAACCTATCCTTATAAGGTGATACATGATACAATCATAAACAATTCAGTCCTGACACAGTTTAGACCCAATTTACCAAATATCAGATAGAAGAGTTTTAAATTAATGAAATTTAAGATTTGTTCCTAATTGAAACTAAATATTATCTAAAATCTGATAATTAATATCAAATTTTTGACCTTTTGCATTTAACAAGGGTATGAAATATAAATCAATATTTATAATTTTGAGAACGATTATTTTTTACAAAATTGACTTGCGCATTTCTACTGCAAGAAAACTTATAGGAGTGATCAGAATTGAACACTGTGAAACCTAGAAAAACGACAATATCTTCCTCATTATTGATCAGATAAAGGTTTGAAGGGCGCCGTTGTGAATCGGGCATTGCTATCTTTGGAAGCCAGGTCACATGAAAATGACACTTAGTCCTTTTGATATATATAAATATATATTTTAATATTTCATATCTTTATAAAATCTTCTCAATTGCGAACATTTTAGAGGACTATTTCTGCTCCGGCCGGGATGGGTTTATCCGTCCGCTCAGGGGGCAGATCAGAGGACGGGAGGACTAGGATACAGGAGGATGAGAAGGGATACAGGAGACAGCAATCAGCTCCTAATACAAGGTAAGATACAGGAGAATGAGAAGGGATACAGGAGACAGCAATCAGCTCCTAATACAAGGTAGGATACAGGAGGATGAGAACGGATACAGGAGACAGTAATCAGCTCCTAATACAAGGTAGGATACAGGAGGATGAGAAGGGATAAAGGAGACAGCAATCAGCTCCTAATACAAGGTAGGATACAGGAGACAGCAATCAGCTCCTAATACAAGGTAGGATACAGGAGGATGAGAAGGGATACAGGAGACATGAATCAGCTCCTATTACAAGGTAGGATACAGGAGGATGAGAAGGGATACAGGGGACAGCAATCAGCTCCTAATACAAGGTATGGAACAGGAGGATGAGAAGGGATAAAGGAGACAGCAATCAGCTCCTAATACAAGGTAGGGAACAGGAGGATGAGAAGGGATACAGGAGACATGAATCAGCTCCTAATAAAAGGTAGGACACAGGAGGATGAGAAGGGATACAGGAGACATGAATCAGCTCCTAATACAAGGTAGGACAATCAGCTCCTAATACAAGGTAGGATACAGGAGGATGAGAAGGGATACAGGAGACATGAATCAGCTCCTAATACAAGGTAGGATACAGGAGGATGAGAGGGGATACAGGAGACAGCAATCAGCTCCTAATACAAGGTAGGATACAGGAGGATGAGAAGGGATACAGGAGACAGCAGTCAGCTGCTAATAAAAGGTAGGATACAGGAGGATGAGAGGGGATACAGGAGACTTGAATCAGCTCCTAATACAAGGTAGGATACAGGGTAACCCATAAAAGATTATGCTTTCAATGCTAATTACCTAACAACTTGAAACCATGGTGCATCAAAGAAATAAAGTAAAGAAGTATGAAGTTCCACGGAACTATGAATTGAATGAAACATACACAGTCTTCTCTGAAGTATCAATTCTTTTTGATTAACACTTTTTGAGGACCTATGAACAAAATTTAAGTTTACATTTTCAGTTTAGATTTTAAATAAAAATAAAAAGTCAACAAGACTCGATAAAAATAAACTTTTTTGTTCAAACAATTTTCCTAAAAGAATATTTAAAAAAAAATTAATTCTTAACTTTTTGTTTGCAACGAAAGAAAACAAACTTTTAAAGCATTTCCAACTTTTAGTAATCTTGAGATTTTCTGAAAAACAAATCCAAAAGCAACGACTAACATAGTATGAAGGTTTTTGAATTATTTATGCAAATTGTAAACTTAATTATTTTGTTTAGGCATAAAATCTCCAAGACCGGCTCTGAGCTAGGTCCAACCCATATCTCTCGGATTCTCAGCAATCCAGGAACCATCCCAGATGAGTTGGACTTCAAGGACGTTGCAGCTAAAAGTATGGACCTGGAGAATATAGAGAAGGAAACGATCCATCTTCTTGTATTTCTCTTCATGCAGTTCCTGTCACACACGGAGCAGGCTAAAATACCAGAGAACAAAAACAGCTTGGAGTACATTCACATGCAGAAGTGCTTCCAATGCCTATTCTCCCTGCTAGGGTTTGATGATAAGGAATCCAGGTTTACAACTATGCCTCACAAGGTTCGTTCAACCTCACAGTTTTCTTCATTTTTCGCCAACATCCCTCAGGTTATGGATAATAACTTTCCTATTGGGAATTTCCTTATATCCAATATTGTATTGATATTGCAAAAAAGTCCGTTTCCTCCAAGATATGCTGCCAACTGGCAACCCACTCACTCCATACTCAGAGAGAACCTGATATATCAGGGTTGTGGGTACACACTGTGGCACCTGGAGCCAACCACCCGGAAGAACTGGTTGGAAGCAGCGCTGGTCATTGTTTACAAATACAATTTCTCCGAACCTGAAACCTTGAGTGAGAAAGTTCTCGGATTGATCCGGATAATTCTAAACAGTCTGACTGCTCATGTCCATATTTGCTCCAAATTTGGAAAGCAGGAAGGATTTGGTTTAACCATGAGATCCCGAGAGCTGAGTGAAACCTCCATAGGTCCTCTGGGTACAGCTACTCTCCAGGGTACAGAGGAGAACTCAGCTTACAACAGCAGAACCTCGCCAACCAGTAATCCTAAGGAGGACCCGGAGGAGGAACAAAACCCTGCCCTGGATCAGAAAGAAGTTGAACTTGAAACCATTTTTGAAAATGTCCGTTCCTCGAGCCCAGATAGCTCGGACGGGTTGCCGAAGAATATCAGTGTTGAGAATCCTCTGTTCTTCAACCTGTTAGCCCAGCAGAACCCGGATTTAAGTGAGTTTAATCCGGAGAATGAAGCACTGGTTTCAGAACGACTCCCCCTTGGTTGGACAATGCAGGAGATGGATAATGGAAAGGTTCTTTATGTTGATAATAACACTCAGTTTACAACCTGGCAGGATCCTAGGGTAGGTTCTAGACAGATCCGGAGAAAGGGTCCGTTCTTCAACTCTCCTCCTAGTCCCTTGAGCCTCATGGACGTTTTAACCATAGGGACTGCTCCTGGGAAAGGAGATAAGATTCAACTAACCAAAGGAGTATCAGAGGAGGAAGAGGAGGAGTACCTCCACCCACCCCCGGAGAGACTCCTGCCCATAGGAAACCAGGAACCTAGACGAGTAGGGCGGAACAAGACTAACAACCTGTCCCTACTAGACCGGGTTTGGCAGGTTCTAGGATCTAATGATCAGAATGAGGACTGTGTCCCCCTGGTCGAGACAGATCTATCATCAAAGATAAAAATAGCCTCAGAGAATGGTGAGCACAATGGAGGAGAGTCAAACTATTCTAAAGTTTGTCTTTTGAAAGAAAATGTGGAAAAGGATGGTTCGGAACCAGTTAAAGAAGTTAGGAAGAGAAGGTTTGGAGCGGTTCAAGAGCCCCAGGGACTGGTATTGAAAGAGGATGAAGAGGAGGAATCTACTGATGTCGGATGGAATAATGTAGAGTCACGGAGCTCCTTTGATCAATCAAAAGATTACAGAATAACTCAACCACTGACTAGACAAAGCCATCTGAGAATAGGAGAGGATACAGTGATAGATCGATGCAGCAGGTGTGGAGCTATACAGGAGAAATACTCCCACCCAGAGCTGTCTCTTTGTCTTGTTGTACTGAACACCCTAGTTCACCGGGACCCGGAGCTAACAGCTCCTCTACTCCCGGAGATATTCATCGTGGTTTCAAGATTAGCTGGGATGTCTCTCTACTCCTGGGAGGAGGAAGGATCGCTCATCATTATACCTGGAAACCCTAGGAGTGTTGCCAGGCAGTTTCTACGAGTATCCTTACAACAGTTATCAACTAATGGAATATTTCCTTTGCTCTTTAAACTTGATCTGGATCCAAACCAGCGGAAGAGATTTTTCTCAACAATTGTGAGTTGTTTGAACGACTTTAGCGAGCTGTCTCCGACAGTTCCAATGCAACTCTTCTTTGAGAATATTGGCAGCTTAAAACCTACCCTGGAGGAAACTTTAAACACCAGTCTACCTAACATAACATGTTATCTATCTTTTATACAGTTTGATCACGTGACAAACTGGGGTTCTGTCTTTGCTCCGCTGGAAAACTTTTACCGAAACCTTGCTCTCTTGACAAGCAGCCAGGACGGATCAAAAGATAAGATCGAGTCTCAAACCAAAAATGCAAAAATCTCCAATATTGGTCCCGTTCTCTCCCTCATAGTTTACACTATGAAGATGCCTGGGGTCAACAACCACCGGAGTATACTGGAACCCATCATTAAGGTGATTTGTTTTGCAATCCAATCCTGTACCTTCAAGTTCCAGGATCTAGTGGATATTTGCTCCTTCTGCAATAAAACCTTCAATAAGGAGAGAGATAAGAATTCGATAACGAAAGCTATTACTGCAGAGTTTGTACATGCACTAAAGTATAAAACTTGTATCCCGGATGTAAACTTCCTTTACCTAGGGAGCATGATGCTCCAGGATGCTAAAGGGGAGCTTCCTCCTAGTTCCATACTAGACGATGCTCCCTCCATTGAGATGGGATTAACCGGACCGATCCATACTGGAGCCACAGAGTGTCTCCGACCCCATATACCAGATATTGTGGATTTTGTAGCTGACGTGCATACCCTGAGCAAGGTTAAGTCCAATGTGCGTGGAACTACTATGAGCTTGAACCAGGATACACTGGGAGGAATCCTTAAAGCCGGATTGTCTCAGTTCCTTGCGCTTGAGATCGCTCGTATGTCGGGGGATCGAGATGTCAAGTTTGTGACGAAATATCTACCCTGGTTGTTCAATCCTCCAAACATGATCGTTTCCCAGGTAGCGATTTTACTTTAGTTGATTAAGTTTGATGTCTGTATTTCTCTTTAATGGAAAAACAATTGTTTTCTAAATATTTGTTCTAAATGATGGACCCTGACAGGAGATATATACAAGAAACGACCAATATAGGATGCACAAACGAATGTCTGGTTACGATCGGTTTTATATCGTTTTCTATTTATTTTCGGGTTAAGCTTTTGCAATTTAATAAAAGCCAACTTTAATCGTTTTAAAGTTTTGAAATCTTTTAAGTAATATCATTTTTTTAAACGATCCAAAGCGCTTAACAAAACTTATCCCAGGGTCCTAAGGAGTTCCTGGACTGTGTCTCACACATCCGTCTTCTCTCCTGGTTGCTCCTGGGAGCTGTAAGCTATACTATGCTTGTTGGGGTTAGAGAAGGTCGAACTTGTCAACCTATACCTCTGGAGGCATCCTGTCACATAGCTGATCATATTGAGGTGATCCTGGCAGGGTTTGCGGAGCAGAGTAAAACTAGCGTGGTTCATATGTGTTCTCTCTTCCATGCGTTTATCCTGTGCCAGCTGTGGACAGTTTACCTCGAGCATGTTAAACCAACATCAAACAACAAGGTTTTATTATTATCTTATTTTTTAAATTTACAATTTTTTTTATATTCTAAATTTTTCAATAAAGAGCAGAAGATATAATGTGAGCTGGATATTATTTTAAATAATGCCTCACTTTAATGTTTATTAAATTCAAATACATTGCAACATTTTGTCAACAATCTTAAAAATCAAAATAATCCCATTTTTTTTCAACGGTCGCTTTAATATTCAAATGTTTTCTCTAATTATCTATCTATTTCCAATATAAAACCGTCTGTCAACAATTCATTTAAGATTCTATGGTTTTCTCCTATATCATTATTTGTTATAAAAAGGCTCTTTATCTAGAATCCTCATTTTCTTTAAAATTCAACACTTAGTTAACAGCTTTCATATTCTATCGTTTTAACAAATACAAGTTTTGGCAACAAACCCTTTTATTTATCTAAACATTGCTTGTCTGTCTGTTTCTTGTTTATATCCATGAACGTCAAAACGGCTCAACCGATCGGGTCCATTTGTTGTGGGACCTCGCGTGACTCCAGGAAAGGTTTATGGATGATCTAATTTTCAAAAAAATTCCTCTGACAAAATTAGATTTTAAAGATTTTGAAATTCCAAGAAATTTTTTATATAATCCGCGAAATTTTTGTTTGATTTTGTTTTTCAATGTGTACAAAGAGAAAATGTTCACAATTTAAATAGAAGATGGGCGCGAAGCGCCCTAAAAGGCAAGTATCTACAGGGTGAGTAAAAAAAAGTGTGATTTGAGTAGCCTGGTGCAAAATTGTACCTTTTTTGTGCAACTCTCCTGCATGGTGTTTTTTTAATATTTTTTGAAAATTTGTAAATTTTTTTGGTACTCTGATAACCAAAAAAAAATCCGCGAACCTTTTTTCTCTTTAAATCAAAAGTTCAGAAAAGCAAAAATGTGTATATAAATTATTTCTATCGAAATCGAAAATTTAATAAAGATTGAACCAAAGAATCACAGAAAATTCAAAAAATTGTAATAAGAAAATTCGCAATTTTTAGTTCTGGTCTAATTTTTAAGGAAAAGTTATTTAAATTCTCTATTTCCTTTCTTCTAAGTATATTCTAAAGTATCAAATTTACGCTGTTCAGTTGAAACCTTAAAAACCATTGAAAAAAAAATGTCCGTAAAAATTATACCAGAACTGAAAAATGCGAATTTTCTTATTACAATTTTGCAAATTTTCTGATATTCTGTTATCCAATCTTTTTAAAATTTTATATTTTAATAGAAACAATTTACTTACACATTTTTGTTTTTCTGAACTTTTGATTTTGAGAGAAAAAAGGTATGCGGATTTTTTTTGGGCCATTGAAGTACCACAAAAAAAAAAAATTCAAAAAATATTGAAAAAACACCATACGGGAGAGTTGCACAAAAAAGGTACAATATTGCACCAGGCGCCGCAAATCACACTTTTTTTGACTCACCCTGTATATACTTTGCTTGTCTTTTTGTATCCAAGAAACGTCAGAACGACTAAATTGATCGGTACCAAATTTTAATTGGGACCGCACATGTCCCTAGGAAAGTTTTATAGATGATCAAAATTTCAAAAATTAGCTTCCAACAAAATTCGATTTTCTTAAGTTCAGAAAATCCAAGAATTTTTTTATAAAATCCGCAAACTCTTTTTGATTTTTGGTTCACAATGTTTACAAAATGTTTACAAAGTTAAGCGCACTAAAAACCTATTATTTAAATTTTCTCTAATTAAATGTTTTTTTCTTTTCAATTATCACTTTAACATTATACCGCCCTCTATAAAGGGACTGTAAGCGTAATTTCAAGGGACCTTCAATTTATATTGATTCATGTCCGATTCACAACGGTACCCTTTAAACCTTTATCCAGACAACAAGTGTAACTCGTGCGGTTTCTATAGGCACTTACTTTCCCGCTATATAAATAAGAATATCTTTCTAAACTTTAAAGGGTTTCGTTGTAAATCGGACATGCCAGGCTCGAAATTACGCATAAAGTCCCTTTTATCTGTTTGTGTTCAGGATGAGCAACTCTTAGCTCCGAGTATACTTCTAGACTTCTGGGTTAAAGTAACTCCGGGAATCCTTCAGCTTGTTTCACATTCTAAGGTAATTGACAACCTCAACAAATTGTTGAAGACAATTCGTGGATTTCTTCAAAAAAACTAAAGTGTTCACAAAAGGATTTAGATATTGTTGTTACACAACTTTACGCTTTATAATGTATATTAGTACTTTTAGTACTTTTAGTACTTTTAGTACTTTTAGTACTTTTAGTACTTTTTTCTTTAACTAATTTGGAAACCCAGCTTTGCCTTGAATCTAAGTTAAAACCTTTAAAAAACCAAGTTAACACGGGTTTCGATTATTTGATTTTTGATTTTTTGCAAACATGCTCTTTTAGCCATTTTGGTTTCAAATTAAAAGTATCTTTAAGGAAGACCTTGACAGATTAATTAAACTTAAAATAGTCAACTTTGTGGAGAGCTATATTAATATAATTTAACAAACTTGGAAACTTGGAAACTTGAAAATATAAATTTATCCAAACATTTTTAATAAATTATATTCTGTTTTGTCCGTTGTCCAGGTTTGGGTTAAATACATACCGTATTCTCCTGTATCCAGGTTGAGGTTGAGATACTAAACCCTTTATATTCTCCTGTATCCAGGTTGAGATGGAGACACTAAACCCTTTATATTCTAATGTCTAGGTCCAGGTTGAGATACACACTTTATATGTTCTCCTGTATCCAGGTCAAGGTTGAGATACTAAACCAAATATATTCTCCTGTATCCAGGTTGAGGTGGAGATACTAAACCCTTTATATTCTGCTGTATCTAGGTTCAGGTTGAGATACTAAACCTTATATTTTCTACTGAATCTAGGTTCAGGTTAAGATACTAAACCTTTTATATTCTACTGTATCTAGGTCCAGGTTGAGATACTAAACCTAATATATTCTACTGTATCCAGGTTCAGGTTGAGATACTAAACCTAATATATTCTCCTGTAACGAGGTCCAGGTTGAGATACTAAACCCTTTATATTCTCCTGTATCCAGGTCCAGGTTGAGATACTAAAGGTAATATATTCTACTGCATCCAGGTCCAGGTTGAAAAACTAAACTTTGTATATTCTATTGTATCCAGGTTCAGTTTGAGATACTAAACCTAATATATTCTACTTTATCCAGGTCCAGGTTGAGATACTAAACCCTTTTTATTCTCCTATGTCCAGGTCCAGGTTGAGATACTAAACCCTTTTTGTTCTCCTGCATCCAGGTCCTGGTTGAGATACTAAACCTAATATATTCTCCTGTATCCAGGTCCAGGTTGAGATACTAAACCTTATATATTCCACTGTACCCAGGTTCAGGTTGAGATACTAAACCTTATATATTCTCCTGTATCCAAGTTCAGGTTAAGGAACTAAACCTTAAATATTCTCCTGAACCCAGGTCCAGGTTGAGATACTAAATTTTATTTATTCTCTTATATCTAAGTTCAAGTTGAGAACTTGAGGTACTAAATCTTACATATTCAACTGTGTCCCGGATGAGGTTGAACTACTAAATCTTATATATTCTCCTGGTTCCAGAATGAGGTTGAGATAATAAACCGTAAATAGTCTCCTGGTTCCAGAATGAGGTTGAGATACTAAACCTTATATAGTCTCCTGGTTCCAGGATGAGGTTGAAATACTAAACCTTATATATTCTCCTGGTTCCAGAATGAGGTTGAGATACTAAACCTAGTAAACTTCTTATTTTCAGGTTTTGGCTGAAATGGTAAACCTCCATTTTCTGAGTTTAATGGAGGCACTCCTGGAGTGTAGATCAACTATTCTAACTAAACTGATGCCACTCTGGTGTCCTGTTCTCCATGCTTACTCTACTACGGTATGTACTAAGAGCTTGGGAGGGGTTGGCGGTATTAGTGGATGTGATGGGGAGGGGGTATGGGAGCTCGATACGCTCTTTCATTACCATTGATATTGTATTTTATGAATTTCTAGTTACCGGATCATATTTGTGTCCGGCTTCAGAATATCGAAGATGCAGCTCCTAAACTAGTAAAGCTGGCTACAGATACTAAGGTTAACAACAGCTTGGTGAACTGGTTGCAGAGGTTGCAGTTTAAGATGGGTCAAATAGAGCTTCAAGCTTCTAATGCTACACAACAATTCTTCAGTGTTTAAAACTAATCACTTTAACTTTTAAACCTGATGTTGTAATTCTTTGATATTTCAAACTAAAAATTAAGTTATCTTGATGATATTTTAAATTTTGTTGTTTGCGAGAAAAAAGTATTTTTCTAAAAATTCGACCGAACATTTTTTATTTGCATTTTTATGCTTTTTATTGGAGATTGTAATGTCTGAAGTAAAGCAAAAAATGGTTTCTCGTTTCCAAAGAGTTAATTATTAAGAGTTAATGATTACATGTGTATGAAAATAGTTAATGATTATATGTGTATGAAAAGAGTTAATGATTAAATGTGTATGAAAAGAGTTAATGATTACATTTGTGAAAAAAGAGTTAATGATTAAATGTGTATGAAATGAATTAAGCTGCATTGTATTCGATAAACTTTGTAACTAAAATTAAACTTGTAAATTAGTTTTATTGTATAATATTGTACAATAAAGAATAAAAATAGGTAAAATTATAATGATTTTAATTTATGTAGTGTTTATGTAGTGTTTATGTAGTGTTTATGTAGTGTTTATGTAGTGATTATGTAGTGTTTATGTATTGTTTATGTAGTGTTTATGTAATAATGTAGGTCCCCATTTGTTCACTATCTGTTAAGAGATGCGCCTGATTTCTGGCTTTAATTCTGACAATTTACTTCACTGTTCTTTAGTAATATAGATTCGCAAGTCATTTTTGTGAAAAGACAACATTTGAGAATAATTAATTTTTAAATAAATAATCATGGATTTATCATTCATTCTTGATCAAACCACGCCTTTAGATTTACTGTTGTAAATCGAATATGTCACTTCATAAAACTCGTTTTTTGTCATTTTTACAACTTTTTTCAAACCAAAACGGAGCAGGTCAATGTCATTTCATAACCTTGATCCTAACCATGTGCAAAGTTCTCTATTATCCAAAACTTCTGAAATCAATCATATTTTGTCAATCTTTAATTTTCTAGTATCTTGAGCATAATAATTAATCTTAACTAGCTCGGGAACCCAGCTTTGCTTAGAAACCAAGATAATTCATATTAAAGTCAACTTACTCAACTTAAAACTTTTACACCCAGCTAAGAACATTCCCGTGATGTTTCACTGATTTCACTGATCAAAATTTGATGCAAATTGTTCAAAGGGTTCCTAATCTTTGATCAGACATACAAGCATACAGACACCCTAACAGAGCTCACTACTTTTATGCATTAGATATACCTTGACATCTATCTATGGTGGCCAAGCGCTGCGGCTAGGATGGGCTATGGGACCGAGCACTGCGGCTAGAGCAGGCTGGGGGCCGAGCACTGTGGCTAGGACAGACTTGGGAAGTTGCCGATTGGGAAATTGCACATTTGGGAAGTTGCCGATTGGGAAATTGCACATTTGGGAAGTTGCCACTTGGGAAAATACCCTTGGGAAGTTGCCGCTTGAGAAAAATCCTTTGGGAAAGTACCTAACATCCTTTCTATTTTGTCAAAATGGAGAAAAATAAATTGAAAACTTAAAAACTTTCAGTCTGTTAAAACAACTAATGATCACGACTGAACAAAAGCAAATACAGCAAGAGACTTTTTTAAATTCTGACATAAAATCATGCACTTGTCTTTTTGTCTGAATTTAACTCTACAGTTAATAGTCTTATTGTCGGAGTTTATCTCTACAGTTAATAGTCTTATTGTCTGAATTTATCTCTACAGTTAATAGTCTTATTGTCTGAATTTAATTCTACAGTTAATAGTCTTATTGTCTGAATTTAACTCTTCAGTTAATAGTCTTATTGTCTGAATTTATCTCTACAGTTAATAGTCCTATTGTCTGAATTTATCTCTACAGTTAATAGTCTTATTGTCTGAATTTAACTCTACAGTTAATAGTCTTGTTGTCTGATTTAACTCTACAGTTAATAGTCCGAAAGTCTAAATTTCCCTTTACAGTAAATAGACATCCTCTTGTCTGACATTAACTCTTTAGTTAAAAGTCCTCTTGTCTAAAATTTGCTTTACAGTTAAAAGTCCTCCAGTCTGTAATTCACTCTACAGGTAGTAGTCCTCACGTCTGAAATTAACACTATAGTTAACCCTATCCCTGCTGGGGTACTTGAAAACCAGGATATGCTGGGGTGGGTCAATTTGACCCCCCCCCCTCTAAATCCCATGTTTTATGTCCAAATATGACAAATGATACATCATTAGAAAGCTCTTGTGCTCTACTTTTAGAATCTGCAAAAAAATTTGCAAATTTGCAAAGATTGAATTTTTTATCGCAAAATCCAGTTATATAGTAAAAATGTTTGCAAAAAAAAATTATACATTTTTGAAAAGCCCTTGACCATGCCATTTCAAATATGCAAAAATGTATGCAAAATTTTAAATAACCTGATTTTTAATCAAGAAAAACTAAAAATGTGCAAATTTCCTTTGACAGGTTGTTTGCAAAAAATGTGCAATTTATTTTTCGCAAAACTTGTGCAATCCGTTTCCTTATGTCATAGGCTTTCCAAAAAGCTAAATTTTATCAAAATCTGACAAGTGAAAGTTGGTCAAAACAAAGATTTAGTTTGTTACAGGCAAAAGAAGTCATTAAGGCAGTGGGCCTGAGGACTCAGGCAGTTAGTATTAAAGCCCGGTTTTAGGCCTAAAGGGAGGGCTTTGTGTATGTAAGAAAAGTCAGAAAATTTCAACAGCCTCAGACCAATACTTTTTGAGTTATGAAAAAAAAACTACAGGGGGGGGTCAAATTGACCCCCCCCCCCCAGCAGGAATAGGGTTAATAGTCCTCCAGTTTGTAATTTACTCTACAGGTAGTAGTCCTCTATTCTAAAATTAATTCTACCGTTAATATTCCTGTAGTCTGTAATCTACTCTACAGGTAGTAGTCCTCTTGTCTAAAAATAACTCAACAGTTACTAGTCCTCCAGTCTGTAATTAACTGTACAGTTAAAAGTCCTTTAGTCTGATATTAACTCTACAGTTAAGAGTCCTCCAGTCTTTATTTAACTCTACAGTAGTAGTCCTCAAGTCTTAAATTAACAGTTAATAGTCCTCTAGTCTGAAATTAACTCTACAGTTAATAGTCTTATTGTCTGAAAATAACTCTACAGTTAATAGTCCTCTTGTCTGAAATTAACTGCCCGCCAATGACCAGGTTTGTATTCTGTGTCCAGAGTCGGAGTTGAACCTGTTCCAGAATTTGTCCCTTGAGACCTGTTCTTTAGTTTTCAAACCTACCCGGAGAATCCAGGACTACACCAGGAACTAGAGAACAGCAACATGAAACTACAAACGAAAACTAGAAACTAGAAACTAAAAACTAGAATCTAGAAACTAGAAACTAGAATCTAGAAACTAGAAACTAGAAACTAGAAACTAGAAACTAGAAAAACTAGAAACTAGAAACTAGAAACTAGAAACTAGAAACTAGAAACTAGAAACTAGAAACTAGAAACTAGAAACTAGAAACTAGAAACTAGAAACTCACAGTATCTTTATGTAAATAATGTTGTAATCTCGAGTTGTTGTCCTTGTATGTCGATCATTAACTTTTGATCGATTTGCCTCAAATTTTGATTTGGAAACCACGATCAGGAATGTTTTAAGTTTAGTCTAAAAAATCTTAGTAGAATGGATTGACTTTTATAGAGAAAAATTTGTTCCCAGGCAAAGCTGGGATCAAGCTTTTCACGTTCTTCTCGTAAACTAAATTATCCTTTTTTACAATGACTTGGGGTTTTGTTCTTTAACGGTTGTTATGAAAGTCTTTAACGGTTGTTATGAAAGTGACTAATTCTATCAGTCTCAAACTATTGCTGATTTCTTATTTATATTAGCGCATTCCAAAAATGATAGATGTCGACATTTTTTCCGAGGAAAATGGTTTAACTTTACAGGTTCTAAACATTTCCAGGGGTCAAGTGGATTGTCATAAAACATGTTGGGCCCAATCAATTAAGCCGTATTTATAGAAGATATTTGAGGGTGACTATGTGCCTTCCTTGATTCATCCAATGACTGCACTGGGGTTATTTCTTGGTAAACTTCCTTGAAGTAATAATATCTTTAAACAAATAATGTTAAATACACACAGAAATCTAAAGAAAAAATGTTTCATTATGATTTTTTTATCTTGTTTCTGAATGTATTCATGAATTCATATTATTTACACTGTGGGAAATGTACTTTAATATCAAAAGAATTAACATCTTTTTAACATGGAAGAATCTATCAAAAATGTTTACTCACGGTTTTGATTACGAAAATTTATTTGTGCAAAAACTTATGCATAATTTTCAGTGGAAATCTCTTTTTAAAAGTGGGTTGCGAATTTTCATGATTAAAAACGACTATATCTTTCATGTTAATGCTTAGAAAAGAAGAATGTTGTTTTCTGTGTAAATTATAATCTTAATAAATCTAAAAGATGGCTCTAAAAGGCCAAGTGTAAAGTGATATTGCTTTGCAGTGTGAAATAAAATAATGCAAATGTTAATGTTTTCAGTTGTTTTAAATGCTTAAAAATATAAAACTTGAAAAATGCACTTTTGCCAAGGAAATATTAAATTTAAATAATTGAAAGTCAAAAACTTTGAAATTTTTCGGGTAAATTATTCACAAGCTCCTCGAATAATCAAATTAATCTATAATTGAATTCTATATTTTTCAACTGTTTTTCTCTGAATAACTATTATGATTCATCTCAAATGCAAATATTACAATGAAAACGAAATTTTCTCACATTAGTTGACATGTTTTCCAAGATTAATAAAATAAAAAAGTGTTAAACAGAAGATAAAATACAAATTGCACTTATTTCGCTGTAAGATCGGCACTTAGTTTAAAAATATCACTTTTATAAATAATTTTGTCAAACACAAAAATTAAGTTGACACAATTGTGACGTAAGAATACAGCTGTACTGAGAGTGTACAAATTCTACGTTGCCATCTATTTTACTTGACAATCTATTTGGTACCCGTCAGAGGGCAAAACTTAAAAGAAATTTACCGGGTATCCCAAACCAAACCTGGCCACGAAACCGGGTTAGCTCTCTTAAGTCTGGGTTTGAGTTTCGTAAGGGTTTCGGGAAACTCAGGAAACTCAGAATGTTACGGGGCAATACCTCAAAACGTCAGCTGTGTGTGTCTGTACCAAAAGAGTGTGCGTGTGTAATAAGGAATCGAACAAGTGTACTGTCGGTGTATACAGTACAGAGAATCTTTGTATGCGTACAGTCTTGGAGAGTACATTTGTGTATTTTTAATTGTTTACTTAAAAATAAGGTTAATATGCATGTTATAAATTATTTATATATTAAAGTCAAAACTAAAAAAGAAATTTTCATGCAAAGAACATAATTTGATTATAAAGTACATAATAAACTACTCGTTATTAAAGCTTAATCATGGTTGACGACATTGTTCTGCATTTTCCTTGGCTGTAGTCATAGAGGGTGTGTCTATACCAAAAGAGTGTGCGTGTGTAATAAGAAACCCGTCTGAAAAGCAGTGCGACTGTCTTTCTCATGTCAGACCAGTGCCATTTCCTTTCCCTTTATTCTTGTTCCCTGGTACCCGTATTATTCAAAATAGATTATTAAGAAGAATAGATGGCAACACAGACCAATTATACACGATGTCACAAGTGTCAAATATAACAAGGAAAACGATATTTTCTCACATTAGTTGACATATTTGCCAAGATTAAATAAAAAAATGTAAAAACAGAAAATAAAGAACACATAGAATTAAACTTATTTCACTGTAAGACACAAAAACCGAGTTGACACTTGTGACGTCAGAATACAGCTGTACTGAGAGTGTATAAATTTTACGTCGCCATCTATTGTACTTGACAATCTATTTGGTATTATCAACTTCCCGAATCCTGCGTAAGAAAAAGACGACCTTTGACAGTCTTTTGAACTTTTTGTTAAACTACAATCTTATAGTGTGCAGGGTTACCCATAAGGATGAAGCATCAACGAATGTATAATGTCTGTTTTCTAGTTTATATCTATGATTCCCTGCTACTCTAGACTTCTTTCTTTCTTTGCCAAATCATCAAATAAGCTATTTAAATTCAATGCAGATGACCTTACAGTCTAGGGTTTCCATTCGCAAAACTTTTGCGCAATTTTTGCGGAACGAAACGCAATATTTTTCTTTCTTTGCGCATCAATTTTGCGCGAAAAAAAAACAACAATTTGCGAAATCATTCGCAAAAGTCATTTCGCGCAAAATTTCCCTATTCCGCTTTTGCGAAACTCAAGTTTTGCGCAATTCTGCAACAAGAGTTTTGCGCAAATCCGCAATTTCGTAAAAATCAAACGGTTGGTGACGGTGTGTGCTTCTTAGAATTCAATTCTGGAAAAATCTTGTTTTGGAATGTCTTCCTATTGGTCGCTTTTACATAATTGACCAATGACAATTAAGAAGAGTTCAAATCTCACAATTTTCTCGACAATTTTAGTTTTGGACATGCATATTTCCTGAAAGTGGATTCTTCAGGCATTGGTTACTTTCTTGCATTATTTTATATGAGATTAAAAAGCTTTCAGAAATTTGATTAAAAAAATGCTGCGGGAGAAAAAGACAACTTGTGTAAGGTCATGAATGAGTGCAATGTTTCAGTGTATGTTAGATAGGTTTTAACGTTCATTTCGTTATCTCTTCCTTTATAATCATATGTTTAATATGCGTTGAAAACAAGGAAACTCAATAAACAAGCAATAAAGGGAGTGATCAAGAATTTCGGAAAGAGGATTTTGACGAATTAATGATTAAAGGGATTGTAAAACGTAATTTTAAGTACGCCTCCAAAAAAGCAGAAATGTATTTGACATTTATCTTCAGACAAAGGTTTAAAGGTACCAAGCATGCTACTCTTTAAAGGGAGTGTACGCGAAAAATGAAAGGGGGTTATAGACTGAGCCTAAATTTAATTCGGTTTTGATCGCCACTAATTCTACTTCTATCTGTTGCGTATATACCATTTAAAGAAATTATTAAAAAATGTTCAAAAACGCATTTTCTCTCAAAAGTGTAGAACTCAAATAAATTCCTAAGTGAAAAACCTGAATTATCGACAGCTAGAGACATTTTTTGAGAAGAAGGGCGATCACTTATTTATTTACTAAATATTTTAATGAAAAGTAGAATAATGTTATTTAATCTTTGCGAACATTTTGGTCGCATTTTTTGTACTCTCACTATATACAGCTTATGCATAATAAACCACTAATAAACCTCCTTCTAACTAATATATATTAATTACAAGCTAGAACAAACAGCTATGCTACTTTATAACCTCCAAAAAAAGTCGCTCAATACACATAATTCGATTTTAATGAAGACCCAACGCATCTATTACTCCAGGGTGTTCATATATCCTTGGATATAAATATATAAAATACATATGCAATAAGTCAAAGAAGATTTACAAGTATACTTTAATAATAGTTTCTTAGGCATTATAAACACAGCAGTACACAGTACTGTTTGTTTACATGTTTATGTTGACTATAGCATGGACGTATGCCGAACCCGACTGAGAAACATATCTGTCTCTGTTGAATCTCCATCCATCGCTCTGCCTTCTCTCTCCTCCTTCTCCTCCTCTTCTTTTATGGAATCCACTCTCCTGAAGTAAACAAACGTATAAAAAACAGGTTTATATATATGATCGGTTGCATTGGATGGATATCTCTTTTGGTTTACCAATATAGGTTGCGACGAATATCTCTTGGTTTACCTATGATAGGGTTGGACAACCTATTTGGTTTGGACGGATAACTCTAGGTTCACCTATGATGGGCTGGGACGGATCTATCCTAGTTAATTTATGATAGGAAGAGACTAATATCCCAAGGTTGGTTGGAACGGATATCTCAAGGTTCACCTTTGATAGATTGGGGAGGACATCTGCTGGTTTACCTATGATTGGTTTGGGCGGATATTTCAAGGTTTACCTATAATGGGCCTCAGTTAATCTATGTAAGGAAGAGACTAATATCCCAAGGTTTAACTGTGATTGGTTAAAACGGATATCTCAAGGTTTACCTATGATGGGTTGGGACGAAATCTTAAGGTTCACCTATGATGGGTTGGTACAGATATCTCCTGGTTTACCTTCAAAGGGTTGGAACGGATATCTCCTAGTTTACCTATGATGGGTTGGTCCGGATATCTCCTGGTTTACCTTGAAAGGATAAGGACGGATATTTCCTGGTTTACCTTCAAAGGATTAGGACGGATATCTCCTGGTTTACCTTCAAAGGATTAGGACGGATATCTCCTGGTTTACCTTCAATGAGTTGGGAGAGGACTCCGTAGTTTCTTCTCCGTCTGAACCTTATCATACTGATCTTTCATCGCTACGGCGCGTTTGCTCGCGCGGCGGAGTCCTGCCCAGTTGGCCGAGGCGGAGCGGTTTAAACCTGGCCGGGTCGCCGAACTCTCGTCTTCAGCCCTCGGTTCATCCTTGGAAAAAAGATAAAAATCTGTTAGGATTTGGAACTAATTAATCTGAGTTTCTGTTTATCTTTTTAACTATGTACAGAATAAGAAAGCAAATGTTCACAGAATACAGTTTAGAATTGCTGGAACCTTCAGATATTTGTATGGCACCATATTAAAATAAAAACCCTTGAAAGGTTTAATTTAAATTACAAAGTTCCTGTCCATAACTTATAGGTAGCCTTTATTTTAAACAAATCCTAGCATAGTAATCTTAGTCATTGTAAAGAAAGAAATTTAAGAGAAGTTTTATGCATTATTATTAAAACAAATTCTCTAATTTTAAAGATTTTTTTCACAGCCATATCAGCCTATCTCAGTTTGTGGTTCGCTGTGGGGCTTTTTAGGGATCGAAACCCCACATTTCCCACGGGACTAAAGCCCCTAATAGTCCCCTCAGTTTAGTTAATCAAGTATTATTGGTAGTAGAATGTTGAAGCAAATTTTATCATAAAAAATAATTAAGTTTGGATTTATTAAAGGAACTTAATTGCATGACTGATTCACAGAGGTACCCACACCATTTTTGCCTAGACAAGAATAACTGAGATATTAATGGTTTTCTCTTAAAAAATTATTATTTTCCATCCATGATTTCTCTAATTAAAGTGACTTGCGCAATTCTGCCTGAGATGAGACAATTGTCAGAATTAAGCAATTTTTAAAATTAGAAAAACGAAAATATCTTCAAGATAATTGATCAGAGAAAGGTTTAAAAAACAAAATGTCCCACTGTGAATGGAGGTTCCTTTAATACCTTGATAGATAAATTTAACCTTTGTTAGATAATGGCTGTCATTAAAAAGTAATTAATTCATAAAGAAAATAGTAAAAGTGAATTAAACTATATTTGTAATTTTTAATATTTGATATGGATATTTAGTTGTTAGATTGAAACTATTTAGTTGTTAGATTGAAACTATTTAGTTGTTAGATTGAAACTATTTAGTTGTTAGA